TTTTAATTGTGGGGAGGGGAGGACTTCTTCTAACAGTGCTCATTTCCTCAGGGACCCTTTCCAGTCTTTCTAATCTTGAAAGCGATCTGTCCGAAGGTTTGGAACGCAACCAAAGAGGATTTGGTTTTGAGGTGTCCTTACTTTGTTTATTCTTTCTCATTCAACCTCAATTTCACTCCTCCTGCTTTCATCAATTTTTTAATTGCTTTGTTTTCCCGTTCTACACAGCACACAGTACAAAAAAGTCCCACTCAATTATGCCTTGCAATGCCAGGAGGGTTCGCCTTTAATGTAACGAGACTGGCTCGATCCTTCTTCAAAGGAGGAATCTGCCTCTAATATTTATTTTGCCTTCCGGATCATTAAGTCATTAAGTCCAATATTTTTAGTATTCTAATATTGTATTTAAATTACAGCTGTTTATCTTCTCCAAGTCTTCTCCAAGTCAGTGCGCAGTTATAATTGGCAAATCAGTTTCACTTTCAAAGCCATTTTTCGGCAGCCGCCCTATCTTCTGCTAAAGCTCATAAATCAAAGCAAGTAATTGGTAATAAATTACCTTCTTAGGTTTTCCACGTGCACCAGACTTTCACCTCCCTTTTTGATCCAGAAAGGACAATTATCCATTCATTTTCACTGCTTTTTTGCTATATTTCCACAAGAGCTGGAGGAAAGACGTCTGTTCAACCGGCCATGGTAACTCTTTTTTAAAGGAGAGGAGGGAGGGAACCAGTTTTGTTTCTTTAGGGAGGGAGTTCCAGAGTTGGGGTGAGACCACGGAGAAGGCCCTCTCTCTCCTTCCCACCAGCCATGCTTGGGATGGGGTTGGAACCGAGAGCAGGGCCTCCTCCAATGACCGCAGTGCTCATGCTGGTTTGTAAGAGGAGATGCAATCAGTCAAACAGCCTGGACCCGAGCCGTTTAGGGCTTTAAAGGTAATGACCAGTATTTTGCATTTAGCCTGGAAGCAGACTGGCAGCCAGCGGAGCTGCTGCAACATGGGAATGGATCTCTCCCTGTATGGAGCTCCTACTAGCAGGCCGCTGATCTCTGAGCCAGCTGAAATTTCTGAACTATCTTCAAAGGCAGCCCCACGTAGAGAGCGTTGCAGTAGTCCACGCGGGATGTGACTAAGACATGGATTTCCATGGCCAGATCTGGCATCTCGAGGTATGGGCGCAGCTGTCGCACAAGTTTTAATTGTGCCAAGGTGCTCCTGGCTACCAGCGACACTTGGGGTTCCAGGGTGAGCGATGAATCCAGCAGCACTCCCAGGCTGCGAATGTAATGTAATTTAGTTACATTATACTGTGTGCTAATGCACAAAAGCAATTGTTTGTGTCAGGGTGGGCAACGCCAAGGAGAAGGCTAGGGGATCGCAATAGACACACATCAGATCTTGAAGGGCTACATCCCCACCATCCCCAAAACCAATAATCTCAATTGCTGCCAATATCTTCTGGGGATTTTGACATTTTTAGGATGTCTGGTCCTTTAAAAAAAATCAAGAATTGACTGAAAGTCGCTATCAATTTATCTCCAATTAAAAATAAACAAATGCCTCCCCAGGCCTAAAATACTCCCCGAACCCCGTAAAAGGCATTTTGGGGTTTTAAAAAAACTTTTGTTTTGAGAAAGAGATTGACATACATTTTTGAATACAAGTAGGCAAAACACTGCTGTGGGAGCCACTTGGGCAGCACTTTGTGTTATCAGATCAGGAAAAAAGGGATAGGCTAATAATATACTTCTCCTGATCTCTTTGAATAGCTTAGTCATCCATGTTTGCCTGGATCACTGGGGTTAGAATAAAGTCATACTGCAGATTAGGTCTGTGTTCTTGATGCCTTCAGGGCAATTTTTCCTTTGACATTTGGAGTTTATGTTTGGCTTTATTTAGAGCACAAAATGCATGTGTAATGGTTGACTTATGTAGCTTAGAGGTATTTCTAAGTCACGGGTGTTCTTCTTTTTAAAATAAAATTAAATGGAAACAGGGCTCTTTCTTGTTTGGTATTCACGATGCATTTTAATGGGAAAAGCTTCTAATTGTTTAAGCATCTGCCCTTCTATTCTGTATTCTATTCTGCAGTGGGCCATAGTCATCTTCAAATGATTTGCAAGGAATACAATTCATTAACAGGGGTTTGCTTTGCAGCTGTTCCATTGCTGGGACCCCCCCCCCCCCCAACTGTTATGGCAACAATGAGGAGAAGGAAAAATAGTGCAGAATGGAAAAAGGCACAAGGAGAGGTGATGTAAATAGTGGAGATGGTAAGGAGTGGACAAAACTACAGTGTTTGGCTCAAAATATGTTGGAAAGGGTAGAACTTAGAAAGAAGGACCACGGTCTTCGATTTCTTGATAATGCCTTGAATGCACATGGACATTATTACAGGTCAAGTCATTGTTGCAGACTGTACATAATGATCTACTGAGTCTCACCGTGTAGCTAGTTGGCGGGCTTCTTCTGCCAGGACTGTCATATTGTTGGGGTCTCCAGTTGATTGTGGTGGAGTAATAGACTAAAGAAAAAAACCAAACACACTTTCAGGAGCCATCTCTTATGACATATTTATATATATGAGCAGCAAGCACTCACTGTCTATTTACCTACTGAACTATATCAGCTGTAACCAAAAGACATCTTTATTAATGACTTAGATGAAGCGTTTGGAGGCATGATCATCAAGTTTGCAGACGACACCAAATTGGGAGGGATAGCCAATACTCCAGAAGACAGGAGCAGAATTCAAAACTATCTTGACAGATTAGAGAGATGGGCCAAAACTAACAAAATGAAGTTCAACAGTGACAAATGGAAGATACTCCACTTAGGCAGAAAAAACGAAATGCAAAGATACAGAATGGGGGACATTGCCTGGCTCAAGAGCAGTATGTGTGAAAAAAATCTTGAGCCAACAATGTGTAGTGGCGGCAAAAAAAGCCAATGGGATTTTGGCCTGCTTCAATAGGAGCATAGTGTCTAGATCAGGGGTAGGGAACCTTTGGCCCTCCAGCTGTGGTGGACTTCAACTCCCACAATTCCTTGAGGCTCGGCATTCGCCCCAAAGGCTTACCTTGGCCCAATGCCGAGCCTCAAGGAATTGTGGGAGTTGAAGTCCACCACAGCTGGAGGGCCAAAGGTTCCCTACCCCTGGTCTAGATCTAGGGAAGTCATGCTACCCCTCTATTCTGCTTTGCTTAGACCACACCTGGAATATTGTGTCCAATTCTGGGCACCACAATTCAAGAGAGATATTGACAAGCTGGAATGTGTCCAGAGGAGGGCGACTAAAATGATCATGGGTCTGGAGAACAAGCCCTATGAGGAGTGGCTTAAGGAGCTGGGCATGTTTAGCCTGAAGAAGAGAAGGATGAGAGGAGATATGATAGCCATGTATAAATATGTGAGAGGAAGCCACAGGGAGGAGGGAGCAAGCTTGTTTTCTGCTTCCATGGAGATTAGGACAAGGAACAATGGCTTCAAACTACAAGAAAGGAGATTCCATCTGAACATGAGGAAAAACTTCCTGACTGTGAGAGCCGTTCAGCAGTGGAACTCTCTGCCCCGGAGTGTGGTGGAGGCTCCTTCTTTGGAAGCTTTTAAACAGAGGCTGGATGGCCATCTGTCAGGGGTGATTTGAATGCAATATTCCTGCTTCTTGGCAGGGGTTGGACTGGTTGGCCCATGAGGTCTCTTCCAACTCTTGATTCTATGATTCTATGACATGAGGAACAAGAGTTTGCAACTAAACTACACAATAAATGTCCCTGAAATGTGCAGATATGAAGTATGCAATATAATGTTCCTCCCACACAAGTAAAAACTGGTAAGAACAAGGAAAGACAAGATAGGCGGACACATGAGGGAGAAGAGGTGGAGCTTGGCACACAGTTGCTACGTATTAAGACAGCTGATGTGTGACAGCTTTTCAAATAGTCAGTAGCTTATAGTATTTGACATATGACATGTTTAAACATGAGAATTTCAGCTCCACCAAAGTACCTGTAGTGGCAATGGGCAGTTCAAGGCCTCTAGGTTAAATCCAGCCCGAGAAGTATAAACTAAGAGGTAACAACCTAAGCATTAACTTCTAAGATGAGACAATGTGAAATATATGTAGCAACAGGTCTTGGCAGCAGACAATTTGTGCAGACAAAAATGAATCCTGGTCTTCTGCATGAACTCCACTCAAAAAGCACATTATAGGAAAGCTAGTTTATTGTCTGAAACAACTATTTATTTGCAACTTCACACTCAACTTTTCAAACAGTTAATAGAAACTTGGAGAAGGGAAGGCATGGGAACAAAAGATAAAAGCTAGGGAAGGAAATAAATGCCACTGGTTTCAGTCAGATACGCACCTCCAAATTAAACAAGCACTTTAGCCCTAGCAATGTCAAAGTTTGTAATCTATCTTTAGCTTTAACAACATAGTGCTTTATACATATTATACCTTGGTTAGCATAACTTCAGAAGTTGCATTAGATATTGCATAATGATTTGAAACTCATTTTAAAAATGAAAGCTAATTTTCAATAAAACGAGAAAACAACCACAGTTCTGAGTTTTGAAATTTCAAAGAAAACATTTTATAAAGCACTCACCACATTGGCAACAGCCATCCTTGCTCTCTGTAGCATATTGGAAGCTGTTTCAATGAGCTCTTGTGTGTTGTCAACCCGGGTTTGGGCCTGCCCTGCAAGGTTTTCTGTTTCATCCACTGTGTTTTGAATATTCCTCAACCGACCAAGCTGACTGGACAGGGTTCTGTTGATCTCATGCAGGCGATCCATCAAACCCTGATCTACATCTAGAAAAGGAAAAATAACCAGGAGAATCTGAATCAATCACACAAAAAGATGGGCGAGCATAACTATAAAGAATTCCCTCGTGCCTTTACTGAGCAGAGAAGTAATATATTATCTGTTGGGTGCCTTTTGGGTCCAACCCTTTAAAAGGGAGGCTTTAAAATTTTGATATCTCACATAGTTTCAGAGATGATTGCAAAGTGTTTGACTATATAGACATGGAAAATGATGAGCTGTTCTAAAAGAAACAGGATTGACATATCTGAATGCTTTGACTGTAACATGTATCTGGACAAGAGGTGTTGGTCAGAAGAGAGAACAGAGAAATCAAATGTTTTCTGAATGCCAAGGTGAATTCTAACACCAACCTGTTCCATTCATATGGAGAAGAATCATACAGAAAGTGGAGGATAGAGGTGTGAAAACATCAATAATTTAAGATCTGAACATTGGAAAAAACTTGGAACAACAACTGAATAAAGTTAAGGAACAAGGAACAAATGAAGAGTTACAGAAAATTATTATGAAAACAAATACAATGACTGCAGAAATTTTATATAACTTTAGATCAGTTGTTCTCAACCTGTGGTTGTTCTGAACCTGTGGTTCAGCTTACCAGCTGTTAGGATTTCTGGGAGTTGAAGGCCAAAACATCTGGGGACCCACAGGTTGAGAATCACTGCTTTAGATGATGAATACATCAATATTGTAATAGATTATTTGAATTATGAAAACTGAGACTGTAGTCAAGAAGTCAGAAGAAGATTAAGGTTTGGAAGGGCAGCTTTGAAGGAACTAGAAAAAATATGCAAGTTATTATATTATCTCTGTCTTCTATGTATGTCTGTAAAAACTGGACAGTGAAAAAAGCTGATAAGAGAAAATCATCTTGTTTGAAAAGTGGTGCTGGAGAAGAGTAATATGGTTACCAAGAACTGCCAAAAAGATCACACCCTTCTACCAAAAAAACAAAACAAAACAAAAAAAAACAAAAAAAAAGAAAGAAAGAAAGAAAGAAAAGAAAAGAAAAGAGAATCCAACAGCAGACCAAGCCTGAATTCTCCCTAGAAATCAAAACTGCACTGAAGCTATCATACTTTGGACATATATGAGATAACATGATTCACTGGAACAGGTGATACTGTCTGAAATTTTGTTGGTGATCACACCATGATAAACCCATTCAATCAATGATTGAATGAGTAAACACCAATGTAAATCTAATGAATTCAACGCAACACCTCCACTCAGGAATAAGAGGATGTAAACTAATGCTTATTGATGTTCAAAACAATAAGAAAAGACAAAAGGAGGTGAAACCATATAAATAACAGAGCCTCTTGGAGATCTCTCATTCATAGTGCTACCATATACCAATGCCGACTTGATGGCACATCACAACAAACAATCCAGCAAAGATGGCCATCTATCAGATATGCTTCACTTACTGACTCCTATGGCAGAAGGAACAATTAGGAGCCAGGTGAGAGTCATTTCCATTATAAAAGCATATACTATTACTATGATTATTACTACCACTACCACAAACATTACTCTCCAAAATAGAGGCATAGTTCTTCAAATGTTACTTTACAAATTTTAACCGCTGCTGAAGTGTAATAATAATAATAATAATAATAATAATAATAATAATAATAATAATAATCTTTATTTATACCCTGCCACCATCTACCTGATGGGGACTTGGAGCTGCTTACATGGGGCCAAGCTCGAACAACTTATTACATCAAAATAAAACCAAAACATGAACAACAAGCAACATCATCAAAAGAAAAAAAACATATGAATACAATAACAAAATAATATTACATTAAACAAAAAACACAGTTGCAGTAACAGTGGGCGGGCCACATGTACAGCATAAAATGTTAAAAACGCTAATGAGATGAACATAAGAGCAAGTTATTTGCAGGGAGCTCATAAAGACACACAGGGTTGTGAAACTAAACTTCCCATTTGGGGAAGTTTAAGATTATTATTATTATTATTATTATTATTATTATCTTTATTTGTACCCCGCCAACATCTCCCGAAGGACTCGGTGCGGCTTACATAGGCCAAGGCCCCCAATAAAACAACAGCATAACAAATACACAATAAAACCCAAGCAACCAATAAACATTAAGCAATAAACATTAAACAATAACATCATGACACAGTTAAAACTAGGGCTGGGTCAAATGTAATGAATAAAAATTAAAAGTGCTGGGCATGACAGGTAAATGTAAGGATTTTAGGGTAGGTGCAATGTGCAGACAATCTTAAATCTCTAATAAAGAGCTCAAAGCAGAATTATTTATTATTTATCTATTTATTTATTTAAAACTTTTATATCCCGATCTTCTCTCGTCTGTAGAGGGACTCAGACCGGCTAACAGCAAAGATCCAATGCTAAAATACAGTCTAAAATATCATACAACAATAAAAGATTAAAATACATATAGAGTAAAAATACATATAAGCCAGAAGGCACTCCTAGGGCAACAGGAACAGAAGGATTGGTCACTTCCATGGCAATAACCTACCTTTGATGCTTTGAGCATCTCGGAGCAAGTCCATGACATCCCTCTCTGCATCTTTCAGCCTGTCTTCAAAAGCCTGGTCTGTAATGGTTTCATCACCTGTTCCTATATTGGCTATAAGGTTTTCCAGTTCTTGCAATCTCTCCCTTTGTTCTGCCACCTGAACAGAAAGGGACAAAAGGTAAGGGTAAAAAGTGATTAGATGAACGACAAGCATTTAGAACTACACTAGGAGTCACTCAGTCCTCATGTATTAATCTCTCTCCAAAAAGGGATTGCTCATGAAAAGGAGAATTCAACATGATTGTAATATTTGTGCCTTCAAGCTAGGTTTCTTATCAAGTCAGAAATCTCAAAGATGTCCTACTTCCATGCTTAAAATGTTAAAAAGTAAAGGTAAAGGTTTCCCCTTGACATTAAGTCTAGTTGTGTCTTACTCTGGGGGTAGTGCTTATCTCCATTTGTAAGCCAAAAAGCTGGCATTGTCTATAGACAACTCCAATTTCATGTGGCTGGCATGACTGCATGGAGTGCCATTACCTTCCCGCTGGAGAGGTACCTATTGATCTACTCACATTTGCATGATTTCTAACTGCTAGGTTGATAGAATCTGGAGTTAACAGTGGGAACTCACTCCGCTGCCTGCATTTGAATTACCGACCTTTCAGTCAGCAAGTTCAGCAGTTCAGTGGTTTAACCCCCTAGGAGTGCCGTGTTTTAAATACTTTGTAATAAAAAGATCAGAAACATTTTGACAATTTCAACTAAACATGTAGGAATTATAATGGGCAGGGCATACTGGTAAAATATTGATATAATAATAATGGAGACCAAGCCCAGCATAAACAAAATTTACAAGCTAAAACCCAATTTAAAAACATAATAACATATAAACAATCAAAATTAAAACAAATAAAAACATCATAGAACGTATCAAAACCAACCTCAACCACCAGTAACCAGAGAATTGTGGGCATAATCAGATTAGAGAAGGCAGGGCAAGGATTTGTGCAAAACACAGACAATAGGGCCGGGACTGTGGATAAAGTGCTGGATAAACCTTATCAGTAAATTAGGGCTGGGCAGTCATGATCAGGGGCTAAGCCATCATTCAAAAACACACTGGAACATCCAGGTTTTCAAGTCCCAGTGGAAGGCAGACAGCTTGGGGGCTAATATAATCTCCCTGGAGAGGGAGTTCTAGAGCCGGGGGCCCACCACTGAGAAGGTCCTCTCTCTCATCCCCACCAACCGTGCTTGTGACAGTGGAAGGGAGAGGAAGGCCTTCCTGGCAGATCTTAGAGCCCACGCCAATTCATAGAGGAAGATGCGGTCACAAAGATAAGCAATGCCCAAACCGTTTAGGGCTTTGTAGGTAATAACCTGCACTTTGAATTAGGACCAGAAACCTATTGGCAATCAGTGGAACTAATTCAGTAGAGGCACCATTCGCTCCCTATAACTAGCTCCAGTTAGCAACCTGGATGTGGACCTTTGTACCAGTTGTAGTTTCCTGGCCGTCTTCAAAGGCAGCCCCACATAGAGTGTGTTACAGTAATCCAATCTAGATATAATGTGGTAGAGCTTCTAGTGCTTTGCATTTATCTTACTTTATTGACGAATTACTCTTCCTTTCTCATTTACCCCATTCCTTATTTTCAAACCAGTCTACAACAACAACATTCCGAATTCCTTCCCACCATCCCTAGATGGTGCAACTTTGCAGAATCTACCCACTTTAGGAAGGTATAACCCAGGGGTCCTCAAACTTTTTAAACAGAGGGCCAGGTCACAGTCCCTCAAACTGTTGGAGGGCCGGATTATAATTTGAAAAAAACATGAATGCATTCCTATCACACTGCACATATCTTATTTATACTGCAAAAACCACTTAAAACAATACAGTAATTAAAATGAAGAAAAATTTTAACAAATATAAATTTATTAGTATTTCAATGGGAAGTGTGGGCCTGTTTTTGGCTGAGATAGGTTTGTTGTTGTTGTTGTTGTGTGCTTTCAAGTCGTTACAGACTTAGGCTGACACTAAGCGAGGGCCGGGTAAATGACCTTGGGCCTTAGTTTGAGGACCCCTGGTATAAACCAATGACTTCTCTCAGCCTCTGCTTAAAAGCTTCCAAAGAAGGAGCCTCCACCACACTCCGGGGCAGAGAGTTCCACTGCTGAACGGCTCTCACAGTCAGGAAGTTCTTCCTCATGTTCAGATGGAATCTCCTCTCTTGTAGTTTGCAGCCATTGTTCCGCGTCCTAGTCTCCAGGGAAGCAGAAAACAAGCTTGCTCCCTCCTCCCTGTGGCTATACTTGAGTATATACAGTATATCTTTATGGACATGTGGTAATGAAATTGAAACATCTGAAATGTTTTCAAGCATACAAATCCCTATCATCACTTGATCTGTTTTGTGACTCAGCACTACACCAACACACATGATACCCTGATGATTCCCCTATCTACAAAAGCATATAAAGCCTAAACACATAAATTCTCTCATGAGTCCAACCTTATCTTTCACCAGTCTATAACAGGCAGGGCACTCTTGACAGCCAGGCCAGGATCGGTTATAAAAATAGTTCTCTTCACATTGGTCACAGCGATTTCCCACAAATCCTTCTTTGCATTCACACCGACCATCTTCTTTGCACTGAAGAGAGCGAGAACCTTCAGGGTCACAATCACAGGCTGCGGAAACAAAGTTTAAAAGTGATTATGGGGAAGGGAGACATAAGGAAAAAGTAGACCTGAATTAATATTTTTCAGAACATAAACAGAGAACATTAGGAAAATCGATAACATCTCTAAAGTGACACTCTCATCTACTAGATTTTTTTTAAAGCACGTACTACTCGGCTTGTCCCGGAGCCTGTATGGCATGTTACTCAAAATAATTATTTCTTGCTATCACATTGTTATTGCAAATGGTAGGTAAAGGGTTTTGTCATCACATTGTTATTGCAAATGGCATGGATGTGGAAATTTGAATGCCACCTGGGGACACAATCCAGATTGAACAGGTGAGACTCATTTAAGCCAATGGGACTTTCTAAAAGTACATTTGTATAGTAGAAACTTTTTTGTAAAGAATCTTCTTAGCATTTTTTTTGTTTTGATCCCACCTTTTTCCTGATATAGGGACTCAAGGCAACAGCAAACATGACACAACACAATTAAAATCAGCAACGTTGCATTAAATATGAATATAAAAATTAAAAGAATTAAATATTTTGTGTCATGGAGCATAAAAATATTAAAATACAATTAAAATTACATTTAAAAATTTCAGTCCTCCAAAATGACACTTACAATATCCATATCAGCAGCCTGCCCCTCATCATTCCTTAATGCATGATTTTACAAGAGGCTTTTGCTGCACAAGCCAATGAGATCTTGATGATATCACTACCACAGACATTATTTATGGAACTGCTGACATTAAAACACACAACTCCCTATCACTGGCCTCCATATAGTGAAACATATAGTACTCTGATTTCCCTGTTTATGAAAGCATATAAGGACAAAATGTAAACCCTCCAAACACCCACACAACCCAGTTCTTGTGGGTTTTTTTCGGGCTATATGGCCATGTTCTAGAGGCATTTCTCCTGACGTTTCGCCTGCATCTATGGCAAGCATCCTCAGAGGTGAGGTCCCACGCAACCTTTCATCCTGGGTCTTCTTAAGAGCTAAGCTGTTTTAATCGTAGTGAGAGGCGGTGTCCACTATTCCATATGCAATCCCACTGGGAAAATAATTGATCTTGGAATAAAAAATTAATTTTTGGGGAGAATGCATTTGAAAAATATCCCGTATTTGATGTGTCCTTTACTATGAAGACACAACTATGAAAACATAACAAGTAGTTCTATTGACTTCAGTGAGTCTTATCAATGTAGGCTGTATGAGAGTATCTCTATGGATGGTTTGCAAATTCATAAACGCTTACAACTGCAATTTGCAATATGCTACTGCCAGTAAGAAATATGTAATTGTGTGACTCAGCACTAACAATTAGACCCACCTCAACATCAGTAAATTCCCATGGACTCAATGGGTGTATTTTACTTGGGACTAGGGCAGGGGTCAGGTCACAATCCTTCACCCTGCCCTAGTCCCAAGGGCCAGGTCACAATCCTTCAAACTGTTGAAGGGCCGGATTATAATTTGAAAAAAAATATGAATGCATTCTTATGTACACTGCACATATATTATTTGTAGTGCAAAAAACCCCACTTAAAACGAAGAACAATTTTAACAAATATAAATGTATTGGTATTTCAATGGAAAGTGTGGGCCTGCTTTCGGCTGATGAGATAGGATTGTTGTTGTATGCTTTCAAGTCATTAAAATGACTTAAGTTGACCCTAAGCAAGGGCCAGGTAAATGACCTTGGAGGGCCCTATCCAGCTCCCGGGACTTAGTTCGAGGACCCCTGGACTAGGGTTTCCATGTAAGCCTATAAATGAGACTGTGGACGCTGCTGTTCAAATTCTTATAACTGGTATCTTGTTTTCTATATGTAAGCATTTGTTGGTATGGAACTGCATTCACTAATAGCTTCAATACCACCACCAACAAAAATACATGATACACCTACGATTCTAAACTATATCCCATTTTAAAGATGTTTAAGGCAGTGACATCTCCAGCCCATCCCTTGTTTGGGTATCAGCCAGCACGTCAATGACTTAAATCAAGAAATAGTTTTCTAAGATCTACAGAGACACTCGCTGGAACACCTCAGCAAACGAGAGTCCAAAAGTGGCAGGCTCAAACCCAGAGCCTCAATCAATGGCTGATACCAAATGAGAGACTCCCCCCTGGGCACACAGAAGACTGGGCGACTTGGAAGGCGCTGAACAGACTACGCTCTGGCACCACAAGATGCAGAGCCAATCTTAAGAAATGGGGCCACGAAGTGGAATCCACGACATGCAAGTGTGGAGAAGAGCAAACCACTGACCACCTGCTGCAATGCAACCTGAGCCCTGCTACATGCACAATGGAGGACCTCCTTGCGGTAACACCAGAGGCACTCCAAGTAGCCAGATACTGGTCAAAGGACATTTAATCAACTACCAAGCTTGCAAATTCTGTGTTTTGTCTGTCTGTTTGTTTTTGGTTTTTTTTTGTTAAAAATGTAATACAAATGTCTGGTTGCTGATGACACGATAAATAAAAATAAAAATAAATAGGGGGAAAAGTGAGTCTTAGAATGGAAGAAATACAGCATTAAAGAGACGAAATCTATTTGTATGAGGTCACACTAGTGTTCATAATGTCACACATTCACACGCATACAAAGAAAGCTTTGCTTAAAATATATTGGCATTCTTCTGGTTGTATTCACACTTCCATTTACGCTTGCCATAATAGTAATGTGTGATTACTTGCTTCAGTTTCTAACTTGAAGGGGAAAACTTGCTCTCTATCCTCCTGTCACCACAACAAGTGATTACACGAACAGCCTCATTAAACAAAGCTTCAAAATATATTTTTGCCTCAACATACAAACAGTAGGAGAGGAAGTGATAACATAGCTTGGAGAGGGAAGAAGTTTAACAGGCTAGGTATTCCTAAGCCCAGCCTTTGATCTGCCTGCTGCAATTTGCCAGGACTTCATTTGCATCCATACTCGTCCAACTCAAGAGTTACACTTAACGTATTCTTGAAGTATTAGGGAAACAGATGGGAGGATTTAGATAAATAGGAATGTATGTCCAAATTTTACACACTTTGTATGTTCTCAAGCTTGGGTTAGCAGCTAAAGGCCACATTCCAGAAGAGACGCGTAGGAGTGTAACAGCCAGAAAACAGGTCAGTTCTGGGACAAAATTCAGAGCATGTGTTTATGACAAGAAGCAGCAGATGGTCTAGAAGTCTATGCAATCAAATGCCCTAGAGGGAGAAAATAAGATTTGTACAACTGCAAAAACATTCTCACTGGACTTGAAACACACAACAGGAAGGAAACAGACAAGGGGAGAAAAGAAGAAAAAAGTATCCCGCGATGATTAAGTCCTTAAACAAACTAACAGTGACAAGTAATGGAGCAGACTTTCCATATGAGAAGATTCTTAACACATGGGGAAAGGCTCAGTAAACAAAGGGAAAAGATGATGAGCCAAAAACATTGTGTTCCCCATTCCCCCTTACGTTTGCAGCCTTCAGGACCGAATCCAAAATGGTTGGCTTCACACCTCTCACAACGCTGGCCAGTGATGCCTGGCTGGCATTCACACTGCCCAGTCTGTATGTCACAGTGGCCGTTCGTGGAACCCAGTGGATGGCAGTCACATCTGGTGGAGTAAGAGTGGCAATGCTATGAACACAGTTAGGGTATCAAGATTTCACAGACTGGATATGTTCGATTTGAGGATGCTTGAATGAGATTGATTTTCCCATGAGAGACTTGTAATTTAAAACTTGGGGTGGAATAAAAAGCATGGGACATTTGCCTGTAAGATAGATGTGCATTCAGTCAAAAGGAATTTAAGCAAACTCAAGATTAAAGACACCTAAATTTCATGAATCAGATTAGCTCCTTAACTCAATTTTCTATTCTGTTATTTGAGGAGCAATGGTGCCTATTCCTAAACAACAGAAGAATTATCAATAATCTTAACAGTTAAACTGACTTAAAATGACTATAAAATACATCTTTGAATGTTTTAGTGCACTGCATGCCTTAGAGCAGCGTTTCTCAACCTGGAGAGGTCACGAGAGGGTGTCAGAGGTCAAAGACCATCAGAAAAAACAGCATTTTCTGTTGGTCATCTGGGTTCTGTGTGGTGGGGTTCAGAATGCTCTTTGATTGTAGGTGAACTATAAATCCCAGCAACTACAACTCCCAAATGTCAAGGCCTATTTTCCCCAAACTCTACCAGTGTTCACATTTGGGCATTTTGAGTATTCGTTCCAAGTTTGGTCCAGATCATTGTTTGAGTCCACAGTGCTCTCTGGATGTAGGTGAACTACAACTCCAAAACTCAAGGTCAATGCCCACCAAGCCCTTCCAGTATTTTCTCTTGGTCATGGGAGTTCTGTGTGCCAAGATTGGTTCAGTTCCATCATTGGTGGAATTCAGAATGCTCTTTGATTGTAGATGAACTATAAATCCCAGCAACTAAAACTCTCAAATGACAAAACCAATACCTCCCCCGCCAGTATTCAAATTTGGGCATATTGGGTATTTGTGCCAAATTTGGTCCAGTGAATGAAAATACATCCTGCATATCAGATAATCACATTACGATTCATAACAGTAGCAAAATTACAGTTATGAAGTAACAATGAAAGTAATTTTATGGTTGGGGGTCACCACAACATGAAGAACTGTATTAAGGGGTCACGGCATTAGGAAGGCTGAGAACCACTGCCTTAGAGAAATATAAATCATTGGCAAGAGCTTGCAAAACTGCTTTCATAAATGTATTATTAATATCTACATTTCTTCCCTAGCCTCCTTTTCAGTGTAAAGGTAGTATTTCAAAACATTATTGTCAAATTTACTCTCTTCATATGTATTTAATCAAACATTGTCTTATTATAACTATGGGAACGTAATATGCAATAATGCACCCTGGTGGTAAAATAACATATTTGGAATAACAATAAATTTGGGCCCGGTTCCTTTGCAGAGCTAAAAGCAAATAATATAAATTGTTTATAATTAAATGTAAACCAGTAGCCAATTAAATGTAATTAATTAAATGTAAACCAGTAGCCAATTAATTAAATGTAAACCAGTAGCCAATATATACATCTATCCAGTATGTTACTATCTTGATTAATAGTACTGTACAAAATAGCACAACAAAAACAAAGATTTCTGTCCTGTGGAGATTACAATCTAAAAGTTCAATAATAGAGATAGAGGTAAATGTAACAGGGAAATATTATACACATGTGCAATCACACTAAGGCTTATTTTCAGATGGGGACCAAAAATAAGTGATTAAATCTCGTATTTCAATAAAAGGTGGGTCGGGACAGGGATCCTAAAGATGGTCCATGTGTTTATGCTAGGCATAAATGCAACAAAGACAACTGGAAGCATCCATTTTGTGGACATGGCTCTGCTTGACATTCTGTTTGTAACTGTTCAGAGCAGGCTTTAACATAGTCCATAACACTCCTCATCTCAGACTACTATGCATTAAATTACTTCTGCCAACCGGTAAGAGAGGTGCCATCCCACAATGAGTCCCTATGCCGAATTCAGAGGAGGGTGACCAGCTCACCTTTCACAGCCACGTCCGCTCTGCAAGTTGTAAAAGCCAGGCTCACAGGAGCTGCAGTCCCGCTCTGTCACATGAGGGAGGCACTCACACTGGCCGGTCACTTGACTGCAGCTTGTCTGCACATTCATGGTTCCATAAGGATTGCAGTTGCAAGCTGCAAGGCAAAAGGAAATGTATCAGCATGCATTTCTGAGAAGCAACGTTCCAGAGAACACTGCTGAGATGGTCACGGTTACTGGGAGCTTAGATGCTTTGTGCTTCCTACCTTCATGCTACTCTGTTATGTCAGAAACAGAAATAGCTAATATTTGCCTTCATTTGGGTATGGGGGTCAGTGGGTTAGAGAACTGCAAAAGCTTTATTTAAATGTTTTATTATTCAAAGAAAGCCATTAATACAGACTTACTATAATGCCTCAATTAAGGGGCCAGAGGTTTAGCACAGCTGGTAAATCATCAGCAATTATAAGATCAACCAAAAAAAAGGTTGCAAGTTCGAACCCCGGGTTGGCATGAGCTGCCAACTATCACCCTAGCCTAGCTCATTGTTTACCTAAGCAATTCGAAAACAGCTTTAGCTGTAATTAGAGAAATTAGGTACCGCTAAAAAGCAGGGGAAGTGTTTTACGACACCATAAAGAAAGAAGATCAGAAAATACTGGGCAGCCAAAAGGAAGGAGGAAGTCCTGACGGCTCTTCGTCATACAGGATAGAGCAGGGGTCCTCAAACTTTTTAAACAGAGGGCCAGGTCACAGTTCCTCAAACTGATGAAGGGCCGGATTATAATTTGAAAAAAACATGAATTAATTCCTATGCACACTGCACATAAACTTATTAGTATTTCAGTGGAAAGTGTGGGCCTGCTTTTGGCTGATGAGATAGGATTGTTGTAGTTGTTGTGTGCTTTCAAGTCGTTTCAGACTTAGGTTGACCCTGAGCAAGGGCCGAGTAAATGACCTTGGAGGGCCGTATCCGGCCCCCGGGCCTTAGTTTGAGGACTCCTGGGATAGAGCAACATCAATCCCTGGGTTCAAGCCCAACCTTCCATGGCACCAAAAACAGCTGAAACAAACCACCTCCTGTTCTGTCTGTCTGTATTGTCTATACAAAGCGGCATTGAATGTTTGCCGAGCATATGTACTGTGATCCGCCCTGAGTCCCCTTCAGGGTGAGAAGGGCGGAATATAAATAGATTATTATTATTATTATTATTATTATTATTATTATTATTATTATTACAAACTGTCAGTCCCAACCCCAAAGAAATTCCCCTTTGCTGAATATTGGGGTCACAAAATATTTACCAAAAATAAAGCATTTCTGAACACCACCCATTTACACAAATCTGTTAGGACCAAGGTGCAGTGTCTTAATGAACTCTGCAGAAAATGCTTCAGCTGTTCTCCACAAAAAGAAAAATCACCCTGTTTAACAAGCCTTGCAAATGTTAACTTGTTTTCATTAAATGTTTGAATTTTTAAATCTATTATATACAACTGGGGTCATGTAAACAATTCTCAGGTGGAAAGGAGTAGTGTATGGAAAAAGTTTAAGAAGCACTGTGCTGTGGCAAAATTTACAGCTGACCATTTTCAATCAAGCAAATTAAATAATAATAATAATATAATAATAAACCTTTATTTGTACCCCGCTACCATCTCCCGAAAGACTCAGTGTGGCTTACAAGAGGCCGAGCCCAAATACATCAGTAAAACAACAACAACAACAATACAACAGTAAATGAACTCATAAACAATCAGTAAACATTAACAACAACGCCACAACGCATCAAAAGAACCTATGGCAGGGCCAAGTGTAATAATTAAAATTGTTAAAAAAATACTGGGCATGACCAGGTGAAATAGGATAGGTATTTTGAAGATAGGTGGGGTGTGCAGACGATCCTAGATCTCTAATAAATACAAATGAAGACATTTTTCAAAATATCCTGAGAGAAGGGTTTTAAGTGTATCTTATTGAAATTATGGCATCTGCGGTTTTATATCTCTAAATATATCACTTTTATCCACACTAAGTCAGATTGTTCACCACTATTGATAGAAAGGTGAGTCCTACTTAATGCAGTATTTGTAGACTAGCTAGATCTGATAAACACTTCAAAGTTAATGAAGTATAAGAAATGGAAAAAGCTCATGATATTCACATGACATATGACAAACTTCTGTGAAGCCAACTCTCCCAAGGATTGAAAATGTGTGCATCCCCAAGGGCTGTAGCCATTTCATAGTCAATGCTGGAAAATGCACTCAAGTGATAACAGCTATGGTGGGAAGAGAGGAGAGGCAGAAGTAGGAGATGCCTTCAACATAATAATCTGTACAGATCTTTCTTCTGGAAAAAAAGACCATCTCCTACTGGATGAAGGGGACGGCACTTGGATTGAGGTCTTGTTGGCTAATCCCATCAACTAGAATAGACCCACTGAATCAGCTCTTGATTGGTGACTCAATTCAATTGATATGCTCTACTCAGGACTATTTCAGTCTTGATATTCTAGACTGCTGAACTGTATAACAAAGAGCATATGAACACATGCAAACTTACCTTTGCACTTGTCCTCTGGATTCTGAGCTAAAGGATTCCCATAGAATCCATCTTTGCACCGGTCACAATAGAAACCAGCTGTATTGTAGATGCATTTCAGACATTCCCCTGTCAAGCGGTTGCAATTCCCAACAGCATTAGGGTCAATGTTGTCGCTGCACTGACAGAGGCGACAAAGCCTGGCAGGACCGCTTGTGCCAAGTGGGTCTCCAAAATATCCATCGTCACACAGTTCACACCTTTTGCCTATAGGGACAAAAATTTTATGGACATCAGAATGCAAGCAGGATGTGTTTCCTCTAAAACACAAGGAAATATCATGGTGGTTTCTATGTAAATATACCTTATATGTAAACATTCACTGTAACTCAGCAATCCCCAACTTACAAACATATCACTCCTCATTACAAATGGAGGTGTGACAACAGGAAGTGAGAGAAAGTCTACCCCCTAGGAAGGAAACATCAATCCTGTAAGAGTTATCATGGGAAGAATGTGTCTCTACTGAAGCTTTATTACGAATCCTTGTTCCGATAACAACCCCGAATTTTCAAAATCACAGGGACAGAATGTGAGGTGAAATCTTGTGAACGGGGGCACAGACAGCAAAACAAACACCACAGGGGTATTAACCCTTCCCTATGCTATCCAAAATACAAAAAAAGGGGTTTTGGCCCAAAGTTCTTGATTTGTTCCATCCGTAGATCATCCAGGACAGCTGCTTTGCCATTTTTACATTTATTGAGAGCCATGTCCAATTCAGTAGATGTAAAGGGTTCATGAAGGTTGTTGTTCTCAATCTCTGGTTTGTCTGGCTATTGGTTTCTTTCCTACTTTGGTGGCAAGGTTTGGTTTCCCATTCTTCAAGAGTTGGTGTGCTATCTGATCTGCCTTTATGTTGGCATGGGTATTAGTTTGTGATGGGTCATTGCTCAATCGTCTTAGCAGCCTCCATGCCTTCTGGCTGCTCCTGCCCATGTCGACCTCTGTGATCAGCTTTATCTACTGTAATGGCTGGCTGAATCCTTGAAGAAGGATAAACTGCCAAACAAAGGAGGATAAACTGCAACATGCTGTTGGCAGTCTCACCTGTCCATTACATTTGCATCCTTTTTTCCCCAAAGTGTTTCCTTTTTTTGTGTACAAACTTTTAATTTTGTTGTACACAAGTGACAAGCAATATTTTTTTACAATGACTAGCAACGCTTTCCCTCCTTCCTCTCACCCATGAACCCTCCACCTATGACTTCCGTTACTACTTCCTGTGAATCATATATAGTTTAATAACCTTTATCTCCAATCCTTTTTAGATAGTTCTTTTTCACCTTTTCAAGATTTTGCTGTTACTCTGAGACATTGGTTAGGTCAAGAGAAAATGACTTCTCTAAACTCAAATGGTGAGCCTTGGGGAAAATGAACCAACACTTTCCATGCCCAAGACCTTTGTTTGAATCACAGTGTCCCACTCTCTGAATGCAGCCCCTTTTTATTTAAAACACGATAGCTTGTCAAGCACTTGTAACATGCTAGGTGTTTGAAAGAGATAAACACAAACCAGATAAAAAGAAAAGGGAAAACTAAATAGAAAAAGAAGACAAACTCTAAGACACCATTCAAAATTTCAAAAGATACAAAAGAATAGTTAGGAGATTGTTCACAGACAAGCAAACTCAAAGGACTCAAACAACAGACAAACTTTGTTGTTTGTTGTTCATTCGTTCAGTCGTCTCCGACTCTTCGTGACCTCATGGACCAGCCCACGCCAGAGCTCCCTGTCGGCCGTCACCACCCCCAGCTCCTTCAAGGTCAGTCCAGTCACTTCAAGGATGCCATCCCTCCATCTTGCCCTTGGTCGGCCCCTCTTCCTTTTGCCTTCCACTTTCCCCAGCATAATTGTCTTCTCTAGGCTTTCCTGTCTCCTCATGATGTGCCAAAGTACTTCCTTTGTCTCTAGTATCCTTCCCTCCAGTGAGCAGTCGGGCTTTATTTCCTGGAGGATGGACTGGTTGGATCTTCTCGCAGTCCAAGGCACTCTCAGAACTTTCCTCCAACACCACAGTTCAAAAGCATCGATCTTCCTTCGCTCAGCCTTCCCTAAGGTCCAGCTCTCACATCCGTAGGTTACTACAGGGAATACCATGACTTTGACTAGGCGGATCTTTGTTGCCAGTCTGATGTCTCTACTCTTTACTATTTTATCGAGACTGGACATTGCTGTCCTCCCAAGAAGTAAGCGTCTTCTGATTTGGGGGGGATAAAAATGTGTATGTTATCTAATCCAAAGCAAATCAGAAGTGTGGGAAGATCAAAGTGTATAGAGAGATGACGGAAATGAAAAACTTGAAACAAGGTTTAGATAAGTGAACACAAAGCAACAACAGAACTTAATTATGATCAAAACTCCAAGATTAAGATTTATACAGAAATTTACACACACACACAAGTGCAAGGAAGAGGCCTTTTAAAACCACAACTGGATATATCTAATCAATAGAAAATTGTGTACAAAATCCAGAGTCAAGATAAATTAAACTACAAGAGGAATAAGGATCAGTAGAAGGGTACATTTACATGCTGCAGATTGAAAGCACTCCGTCACTACTTGAATTGCTATGGCTCAATAGTATGAATCCATGTGAGTTGTAATTAAACAAGGTTTTTTGCCTTATCTGACCAAAGGTGCTGATGCCTCACCAAATTATAACTCCAAAGATTCCATACCATTGAACCAAGACAATTCAAGTGGTGTCAAGATGCACCCAAAGGCATGTTTTGTTTTCTTCTGTTTCAGTACTTGTTTTGGAAAGAAATTAAAAGGGCAGCATGAGATAGTCAGATTTAAAAAGTCCATCTTCAAAAGGAAGGGGGAGTTTCCTTCCTCTTTTCTACACAACATTAATTTCTAAGACTGTCAAATTTCTACAAAGCCTCACAGACACTGAATTAATTAGTTTCCAAAATAGTCATCTATCCATCAAATAAAATAAAAAAGATTTTAAAAAACAAACAAAACCTGAACTTCAGAGAAATAGGAATGCAGATAGGTACCATAGCTAGCCAGATTAATAACAACAACAACAACAACAACAACAACAACAACTTTATTTTTATAACCCGCCTCCATCTCTACAACAACAACTTTATTATATACTTGATTATATTGTGGAAATCTTGGATTACAACTTTAACAACAACTTTATTTTTATAACCCGCCTCCATCTCCCCAAAGGGACTCGGGGTGGCTTACATGGGGCCAAGCCCAATCACACAGAGTGAAAACATAGCATATAAAATATAACAGTAATACAAAACAGCATAAAACAAAAGTATAACAATAATAAAAGAACCATCATAAGCAACAACCAAGAACATATTTCAAGACTCAGTGTGGGAGGAGGGCTGGAGTGTAACCAGGGTTAAGAAACACAAAGAAATAACTAACATACATCCGCAATAAATCCAGCATACGGACATGCCATGCAGTGTTCCTTGCACAACTCTGACATGCTGTCTCATGGACACAGACAAGTTGTGCAATCATTGGAGGCTCCTTTCCTCTAGGATGATTCATGAGGCAAGAATGGCAAATCCTTCTCTTTTGTCCAGGAAGTCATAAAAGCTGGAAAGTAGATAGTCTGCATGTATGTGAGCTCTTTTGCCAGGTTCTAAAGCTGTTGCTGACAACAACCAAATGGGACAATTCCATATTTTTCATAACATTTTTCAATGCTTCCATGGGTACCTCCCTCCCATGTTCCTAAAGCGGTGCTAGGTCATTTAAAATGGCACTATTGGTTCTTTTATGCAACAGATACCCAAGGACACTCTGACACGGAAAAGGAGGGAACAGCTTGGAATTAATAAAAGCATCCAGATCATTCTAGTTGATTGTTTAAAGCAAGGATAGGAAACGTTTGGATTCTGGGTGTTTTGAGTTACAGAATTCCGCCAACCCATTCTGCTAGCTATGCTGCCTTGGGCCTCTGGGAAATGTAATATTTATTTGTTTACTTAAGGGCCAAAGACTCCCTGTTCAGTCATTTCCCCCTCATTCTCCTACTATTCATTACAATTGCCCTCTGGCAAGCATCATGTGCCTGTGCACAAGAACAACTTCACCTAAAGCAACATACCTGTAGTACCAGCTGGGCAATTAGTGCACACCACCTCCTTTGTTTTTGGTACGATGGCACAACTTGACCCTCCTGGACATGGACACGGCTGGCAATCTGAAGAAGTTCCTGTGGTTGCATCTCCATAATAGCCGTCACTGCACTTCTCGCAATGAGGACCTGCTGTGTTATCCCTGCAGTTACAGGCTCCTGTATTAAGTGGGGGAAATAAGAGGTTTGCTCCTCAGCATGATGCAGTCATGTGGGCAAAGCTGTTCTACAGAAATTATTCCTGATCCAATATAATTGTTAGCATATGGTGTGATCAAGAAACATTACACATGCCTTGGGCACTGAGAGAGGGCAGAACTTTAAATGAAAAAGAAAAACTTTATTTATACCCTGCCACCATCTCCCCAAGGAGCGGCTTACATGGGGCCAAGCCCGACAACACATCAATAAACAAAAAAGCAATAAACAAAAAACAATACAGTTAATATAAGTCACATATAAACAACACAAAAAATTAAAAACCTATGGCTGGCTGAATGTAATAGTTTAAGATTAAAAAAAATAAACGCTGGGCATAAACAAAGGTAAGATATATCTGGAAGGAGGGTTTTGAAAGAAGTGAATGGAGGCAATCTGACAAATAGTTAAAGTGCTTCTGAGGACATTTTGCTGGAATTTTTTTTCCTATTCTGGGAAGCACACTGGAACAGCCACGTTTTCAGGTTCCTCCGAAAGACTGCCAATGTGGGGGCTTGCCTGATATCCTTGGGATGTGAGTTCCAGAGACGTGGGGCCACCACTAAGAAGGCCCTCTCCCTCGTCCCCACCAATCGCGCCTGCGAAAGGGGTGGGAGTGTGTGGGTTCGTACACAGAAATGCAGTCATGCAGGTAGGCAGGTCCCAAACCGTTCAGGGCTTTGTAGGTAAGAGCCTGCACCGTGAATTGGGACCGGAAAATGAACGGCAGCCTGTAAGTCGCCCCAATTAGTAACCTGGCTGCTGCCCGTTGTACCAATTGGAATTTCCGGGCCATCTTCAAGGGCAGCCCCACGTAGAGTGCATTACAGTGATCCAATTTGGAGGTGACTAAGGCATGGACCACCCTGGCCAGATCTGACTTCACGAGGTACAGTCGCAGCTGGCGCACGAGTCTTAATTGTGCGAAGGCCCTCCCAGCCACTGCTGACGCCTGAGCTTCAAGAGTAAGTGATGAGTCCAGGAGGACACCCAAGCTTTCCTAATGTGTTTCATGCTTTGTCTTTTAGATGACTTTAACTCGTCAAAAACAATACTAGATGACAAGAAGCACCTATATATTTAATGAAAAAATGAATTAATTATCAGGATGGGTAAATCCTACGTACAAATAATCTTGAGTCTGAAATCTTGGTTGCTTGGCTTCATCCTGGAGGATGATGGAGACCAGACCAAGCACCATCCTCTCTGTGTCACTGTGGCAAGTTGCCAGGAGAGGGAGCTACTGGCTTGTTTTCTGCTGTGGATAGGTGCTAGCAATGTAACAGAGAAGGAAAATGCAATAACATCTATTGCAGGCGTCATTACGTGATGACAAGAGGGGGTAAAGGCTGAGATGCAAGGAGATCTGGCATACAGACATCACATTTAGGTACCTAATAACCAATTTCAAACAGATGTGGCACAATCTACGCCACTCTTTCTTCCTTACCAGTTTCAGGGTTGCAGGTTTCACTATGTCCATTGCAGAAACATGGCACACATGGACTGTAGGGCCCAAGACTGGGAGTCTCTCTCCTGTAGCCATCAGCACATCGTTCACAGAACTGCCCCAAATAGCCTGTGGGACAAGTACAACTTTCCACCCATGTTGCTGTGATTCCAGGCCCAGGCCGAGCACTCACAATAGTGACATCGTCCAAATATCCAGCATCTGGAGGAAATGTAAAATATATGCATATGAATAAGTTGAAGAATAATCTTCATAGCATTATCAGGAGAGCAGAATGCTTTGATCAAATAAAAATTAAAAACGAAAGAATCCATACACACAGGGCTGGATATATTTATAATTTCCAATTTTCTCATTCCTCAATGTGTTTTATCTCACCTCTCTAGGCTCTACACTTGCTTTCCAATAAGTTCAAGTGTGGGATGAGACAGAAAAAATAATGATAAGCCTTTCAAATTTCATTTCCAAGCTGCCAGAGCGGATTCTACTGCCACCTGCACCATTTATCCTATAACTATCAGGTCTGCCTCATACACCTTAATGTAGCCAGCTACTAATATCTAGCTAATTTTCCTCCCTTTTCCATAACATATTGGAAATCACTGTAGCAAGGAGTTCTGCTGTGCTGGGTTAACTTAAGGGTGAATGTTAAGAAAATCTTCTAAAGTTACAGGTTGTATAACACTTATCCAAAATGCTTGGGACCAAAAGTGTTTTTTATTTTGGATGATATATTTTGGAGATGGTTCCCAAGTCCAAGCACGAAATTCATTTATGTTTCATACACATCTTATCCACAATATTTCAAATAATTTTGTACATAAAATGAATTTTGTACACATTGAGCCACCAGAAAGCAAAGGTGTCTCTATCTCAGCTACCCAAGTGGACAATTTTGGAGTATTTTGTATTTCAGAATTCCAAAGAATACTCATCATGAATTACATCTAAATTCAATAATGACTTGGTTTAAAATGACTCATGATTGATATATATCCAGTGCCAGTTTGTGTATATCCAGTGCATACTGAATTGTAAACTTTTTACAAAGATGTTGTATTATTCCTTATTGATGCTATGTAATATATATATATATATATATATATATATATATATATATATATAGAGAGAGAGAGAGAGAGAGAGAGAGAGAGAGTGAGTTGCTATGCACTATATATGAATTAATATATTTTTCAAAAAGGTTATCTCACATATGGGGGGGGCTCTATAGGCAAATTGCTATTTGTTTATTTATTTATTTATTTATTTATTTATTTACAGTATTTATTTGTTTATTTAAAACATTTATATTCCGCCTTTCTCACCCTGAAGGGATTTCCATAGCCGGGAGTTCCATAGCCGGGGAGCAATCATCGAGAAGGCCCTGTCTCTCGTCCCCACCAATCGCGCCTGTGACAATGGCGGGACAGAAAGCAGGGCCTCCCCGGAGAATCTTAATTTATATACAGTATTTATAAATTGCTTTTCTTACCCCTAGGGCAGGGGTCGGGAACCTTTGGCCCTCCAGCTGTGGTGGACTTCAACTCCCACAATTCCTTGAGGCTCGGCATTCGCCCCAAAGGCTTACCTTGGCCCAACGAGAGACGAGCGTAACGTAGCTGTGCAGATGGCGAGGAAGGATGCGGAGCCTACAGACTGGCCTCGGACGGAGAGAGTGGGCGGAAACCCCTGCGGGCAACGCGCCTCCTCGCCGCTTAAACAGCTCAGAGCCCTTTCCCTCCAGCCTTCGCCTTCCCTTTTCCCCGACAAGCTCTGCACGACGTCACTCAGCCGGCGTCGTTGCTAGGGAGGGGGTCCATGCGGGGCGGGTGCTAAGGGCCGAAGCGGCTACGTTACGCTCGTCTCTCCCCCTTTGCTGCCGGTCCTCCATGAAAAAGAGCGAAACAAACCTCGTTGGACCAAGGTAAGCCTTTGGGGCGAATGCCGAGCCTCAAGGAATTGTGGGAGTTGAAGTCCACCACAGCTGGAGGGCCAAAGGTTCCCGACCCCTGCCCTAGGGGGACTCATATTATAGGGGGACGTCTGCTATATTATACTCTGAAGTTTAAATAATGGCAATACTTAAGGGAAGAACAATTCTTCTTCCAGTTGAGCTTGGCTAACAATTACAAGAATCAGCACCTATCTAAATAGTATACTGCTTTAGTCATTTAAATCCATCTTACATGGCTGCAGTACACTAGATAACAACAACACTTAGCCATTGTGCCACGCATACACTCTGATAAAGGTTGCCAATCTATGAGACCTGTGTTTGTTCAAGGGATTCACTGGAGAGCAGGAGAAGGTTATGTTCTGCCAACTGCTCTATGAACGGCACTTTAGCTTGATTAGGAGGTGGCTGGGAAAGATGAGCAATTGGGCCATAGGGACACTGAAGGCACCTCTCACTCCAAACCGTTTCCCTCTCCTCTGGCCTTTTTGCAACCCAACACTCTTAACAGCCAGATTACTAGGTTTTCCACTGGGTGTCCTGTTCTTTCTGTTCTCCAGAGTGCTCCATTGGCTTTCACTGTCTTTTCTGTTAAAAAGTGAAGTGCTTCGGGTTGTGTGTACCTAGTACACATGTCTGAATTGTTAATTCAGAAATGAAACCAGGGCACAGGGAGAAGTCAGACATTGTACGCCCCTCCTGCCCAGCTGTTCTACAAAGTATTTTGCTCTCCACTGTGTTAGCTACTGATTATTCTTAGCAATATACCAAAGGAAGCCATAATAATATGGAAACTAGTTTCTTTCACAATTTCAAATCCATTTCAAACAACTGTTGTGCTGTTTGCTTTCTGAGGTTAGCAATAGCTTGTCTCAATGTTCACATGATATGTATTTTAACCTTGCCAATACTGTGTAGAGAAGTGAAGGGGCCTACAAATAGGAGGAGAGGATGAGTACTTCTTAAGCTGATTACCGAATAGCAAACCAAGTTTGTAGGAAAATTGTGTCATATCTGCACCCAGATCTACATAGAATGCCCAAATACCAAAGTGGGCAAATATTGTGCTTTTGCCCAGAAAAAGCTATCAGGCATGCAAGGGATGGCAACAAGCCAAACATGTTCCTTGTAAAAGTCCAGCGTAGATAAAGAATGCAGTTGATAACTACCATAACATTTATTTGCACACATCGTTCCTTTTGCGTATGTCATCAGAAAAGAAGGTGGGATTGTTCCCGTTTTTTGCAGATAGACGAGTAGAACTTTTGGTCTAACTTTGACTTTTTAATCCATCACTTATTAATACAATAAGCCTCTCCAGGAAAAAAACAACCATGTGATCCAAGAAAAGAGGGGAATATTCTGTTCAGGCCCCCACCTGGCTTCTCCTCCACCTGATCTTGTCTCTGACAGCTAAGCCTGAGTAATTGCTCTCAGGAAGGGTTCTGCTTCATGTATACAATAATTTTTATGGGGTTATATGTTGATGTAAGGATGTTTACATTTTGAGTAGCAACTCTGACGCCAACTACAGCCCTAAACACTTCAAGTTAGCAATGAGAGGAATGTTAATTGCACCAGTATCTTTCTCCATCACTTCTCCTTCAGTAAATACATTTTTCTTAAATATACTTAGCTTCTCAGTCCTCCCAAAATTCCATACATTTTAGACATAGTTAACATGAACGATTCTGTATTACACCAATGTGATATTGAGGGCAACTTCTCATATTAATAAGCAATGAATAATTCCTGTATCCTTAATAGAGAACCAGTGTCTGTAGGAAATATATGAGTCACTGAATTGAAAATATATGAGTCACTGATTCAAATCCCACTCATTATGGACCCATTAGGAGGCCACAGGGAAGTTACTGATCTCATATCTCAGTTTTTGACTCAAAAATTGCACATTGTCGTTGTGTTAATCTCCCAAAGATGAACCTATTACAGGGTTTTCTGGGGCTGAGAATGTGTGATTTGTTCAAAGTCACCTATGGGCTTCAATGGCGGGTATTGAACATTGGTATTCAGAGTCATAGTCTAAACACAAACCACTAGATCACACTGGTCATATATGAATAGTATTATTGGCAAATTTTACATGTCAGGTTTTGACCATAACTCAAGATAATCCTTAGGAAGTTCTATAAAGACCCAAAGGTGACATAAAAGGGCTAGTTTGTTCAGCATTGTGATCCACCCAAAACTTATGCCAAGATGTGTTTACACTATTATTTCACATATCACCAGAATATCCTCCACAAAGAATGAAGCAGAATAGTTTCCAAGCCAGAATCTGCCCCCTCCCCCAATCCCTGCCTCTAATCTCATTCTATTTCTGAATTACAGTAATACCAATGCCACTCATTTGCTGTAGCTTGTCTTTCACTCAAAATTCTGGGAAGAAGAGTATCTGATTCCTGTTTTTTAAAAAGAAAATCAAGTAATTGTATTTACGTGGATTCCAGAGAATTCTGACATATTTTGATGGTGCATACAGTTTTCTTGATCTCAAATTGCTCCTCTCTCATCATATTTCAAGTCAGTCTTCTGAAACAATTTTTTTCCAAATTTAAGACCGAATTTGTTGACCAAGAACAGGACATGGCTTATGATCCTGGCTTGCAAAAGCAATGACAAAGCAAGCTCCTTTTTTGAATGACATACTAAAAAAATACTCCAAAGCCATTTCCAGCTTGCCCTTTTAGTGTTTAACTGAGAATAACTACAATGAACTACAACTATATTTTTCCTACCAATTACCCAGATTTTTTCATCTAATTGGCTCTGGAATGAACAGCCACAGACCAGTATCTAATATTATTGTTGCCTGCCATAGCATTGCACTTAATTCCCGGGGGCCCTAGAATTTTCTGGGCTTGCACAAATCTTGGCCCGGCCTTTTAAATTTTTTTATTGCCTTGAACAGGCAGGATTACTTTTAATATATGTGTGTTATGGCGACAATTTTTATGCTTATATTTTGTGTTGTTAATCTTATGGTTTTGTTGTTTTTTACTTTGTATGTTTTGTGATGTTACCTGGGAACCGCTCTGAGTCACCTCGGGGAGATGGAGCGGTGTGTGTGTGTGTGTGTGTGTGTGTGTGTGTGTGTGTGTGTGTGTATATATATATATATATATATATATATATATATAATTATTATTATTATTATTATTATGAACTACAAAATACAATGGCACCCATTTTTTAAAAAAAAGCATAAAAAACAAGAGTTTCAGCAGGTAAGACAGAAGAATCATATTTTTAAAGAAATCCACCTAAAAAAATTAAGACTACTAAAGCAGAAATGTTTTTGCCCCATTGAAATGTCATAAGATTTGGGCACAGAGTTCAGTTTCTCAGAGAAAAGTTTTTCTTCATCTAAGTACAGACAAGCACAGAGAAGGCTGCTTTTTCCTTGCTATTCATTCAGTTTCAGCTATTATCATCAACTTACTCCTCTCACTATAGGTCCCACGAATCTTGACAGCAGTTAAGTTGCGGAGCAGCTTCTGGAACTCAAATGGGGTTAGCGAAGGCCTCCAGGGATAATCTGTTGCTTCATGGAGCCTAATGGGAAGAGTATATCACTTTAAAATCTTAAATGTATTTGGTTTTACAATGATCACACACAGAACTTAACCTGTTGATGTCAGTGTGCTATAGCACATAACTCAAGCATCTGATCTTGTTCTGTTGTAGAACCACCCACTGACAGAGTTCAGGGAAGGGGTCTGCATGCTGGCTTGTTTCTGTTTTCTCTCTCTCTCTCTCTCTCTCTCTCTCTCTCCTTCTTCCCCACCAGCCAAGGGACAACTTCCCAATCACCATTCTCTTCACTGTTCCAGCATTTTCCTTCCTGGCCTAAATACTAGAGTCTGACAATCTATTAATGGGGTTATCATTGCTAAAGACTTCCTTGTAGAGCTATAGTCTTCCTAGACACGCTTTTTGGAAAAATCTTTCAAAAGCTACTTGAGCCACAAGTACCACAACAATGGCTACACAGTCTGTCCACTACCTTACTCCTGAAAACACTATCAATAACAGGAGTAGGTTTCAAAGTCTGTTACTATGTGAGTTCGTAGCAATCCTAGTTGTGCTTTGTTTATGTGTTAAACTGTGTTTAACACATACGTGTGAAAAAGATCTTGGAGTCCTCGTGGACAACAAGTTAAACATGAGCCAACAATGTGATGTGGCGGCAAAAAAAGCCAATGGGATTTTGGCCTGCATCAATAGGAGCATAGTGTCTAGATCTAGGGAAGTAATGCTACCCCTCTATTCAGCTTTGGTTAGACAACACCTGGAATATTTGGTTAGACAACAAGCTGGAATGTGTCCAGAGGAGGGCAACTAAAATGATCAAGGGTCTGGAGAACAAGCCCTATGAGGAGCGGCTTAAGGAGCTGGGCATGTTTAGCCTGAAGAAGAGACGGCTGAGAGGAGATATGATAGCCATGTATAAATATGTGAGAGGAAGCCACAGGGAGGAGGGAGCAAGCTTGTTTTCTGCTTCCCTGGAGACTAGGACACGGAACAATGGCTTCAAACTACAAGAAAGGAGATTCCATCTGAAGATGAGGAAGAACTTCCTGACTGTGAGAGCCGTTCAGCAGTGGAACTCTCTGCCCCGGAGTGTGGTGGAGGCTCCTTCTTTGGAAGCTTTTAAACAGAGGCTGGATGGCCATCTGTCAGAGGGTGATTTGAATGCAATATTCCTGCTTCTTGGCAGGGGGTTGGACTGGATGGCCCATGAGGTCTCTTCCAACTCTTTGATTCTATGTTTTCCTCTGACAATTTAACACACACATATACACCTCCCTACCTGAAAGTGTACTTCAGTATGTTCTCACTGGGATAGGAGTTGCCTTGAGCAATCAGAGGCACTGATATTCTCAGTCCAGCACCTTCAAGGACTATATCCTCAGCAGAAAGGCGTGTGTCCCGCCTATCGACCCGAAAAGAGAATGTCAGGTTTTGACCATAACTCAAGATTTGATTTCCAAGAAACTTGCCTGTAAGGAGAAAACAAAGTTTATACTCAAATAATGGTAAAAGCAAACAATTAATTTGCAAGTACTAGCCATGAATGAAAATAACTTGTTTCATAACATACCTGGTGCAATGAAATATATAGGAAAAGGTGTATCTGAGATTACAGATATTTCCTGAGTCTCAGCAATCCACTGGACAGAGATTTCAGAACCATCTCGCTGTTCTGCATGCCACTCTTCCTCTCCTAATTATCATAGAAGGAAAACAATTTTAAGCTAAGGATGAATTGCTTCACTGTCAATGCGGTGGGAAAAAACACTAGTAGCATTTTATATATTTGCATGCCAACCTAGCTTGTAATAGCTATAAAATGAGAAAGGATTAGGCTTAATTGGTTGGACCACAATGGAAGGGCTCATGCACAATGATAAGCCGGAATTGTTGCATTAACTTTGGTTTACTGATGTAATGGTAGTGTATAGAGATCATCTTGCTCTAATTTATCCCTCCATTCTGATGGACTGATAAAAACAAAACAGAATGGAAAATCTTAGTATGATGATCTAAGCCATGGGTGGGTATTCTAGTTCCCAAACAAGTCAAAAGTCTGGGGTCTGGCTATCCCTCAGAGCTTTTTTATTATTTGTTTTACCATTTTCTGCAAAGCAGAAGCAAATGAACTGTGTACAGCAGCAGCTAATCATTTAGAGTAAACTATGCTTATATTATCTGCAAATATAATATAATTGTAAAATAACTGAACTATTAAAATCAACCAAACAGCAACAACAATCCTAGTTTATGATCAGAAAGTAAATTAGTATCCCGGTCCCAATGTTATAAAAAACATAGGTGTACCAAATTTAGGATAACTTTTGCACTATGATGCATAAGACAAGGGGTCACAATGCTTGTTCTCAGTCCAAGAAGCTATAGCTTATATAATTCAGGAATTAGGACCAGAACACAGATCAGAAACAAGAATGCCTGTTTTCCCCCCACAAACTGCTGTGGTCTCCAAATACTAATTTTTGGAGCCAATATTAGCGAATGCCCATATAAATGGTCAGCTTTATAATAAATTTGCTGCCACCTAGCAGCAGGCATTTTCAAGTGGAATGGAGACTGTATAATTGTATGTGATAACGTTTATAATTACAGTGGGAAAGGTCTGAGAATGAACACATGGTTCCTAACAGATTCTCTCCAAAGGATGATGCTTCCCCTTCTTAGAAGTATATGAGAGGAACACTGGAAAGAAAAGCACAGGTTAAGTGCTTCTCTTTCATACAAAAATATATTTTAAAATGTTACTCTGCTTTGGACAAATCTGGAAGTGCCACTGAGGAGCAAACACAGGTTTGGGGAATAATCCAACATGTATGCCAGTGAACCAAGAGCTATACTGCTAAAGAAATTTAAATCAAAGACCAGAAGACTGTAACATTTCCCCCATTTTATTGTAACTTCCACCCAGCCCCAAGAGCATCTCATTAGGGCATATAGTTACAAGGCATATCCTCCCAACTGCTTAACCAATTTAGGAAATTATTACTACAGATTGATTTCTGCATATCCTAATCTTGTCTTGCTTTCATTTCTCAATTTACAGTATCTATGATTTCATGACCAGAACATGAATAATAATAATAATAATAATAATAATAATAATAATAATAATAATAAACCCTTTATTTATACCCCGCTCCATCTCCCCCAGGGGGACTCGGGGCGGCTTACATGAGGCCACACCCATCAATACAACAAACACAGTATTACAGGTGTGTTATACCATTAGTGTTGACATTAAATGAAGATAAATAAAAGATTTATGGTATGGATGGGTATGATTTGGGTCTTATTAAAAGTTCTCGATCTTACCAATCTGGAAACTTGAGGCAATTCTGTAGATGCTGTATCCATTAGCATTCGTACAGACAGAAGAATGCCCAAAACAGAAGCAAGGAGTACATCCCCTAGGGTTGCTGGAATCCAGGTTGAAAAAGCCAGGTTTACACCTAAAAAGAAAAGGAAACACTGAAATATCGAATCCAGATTATTCTTCTCCCACATTCCTCTTCTGCCTCTGCACATCTATATCCATAGCATAAGAACAGGAAATACCCACAATGCATCATACAATCGCACTAGACGATTATTGGAGAGAACCCCACACTAGTTTCTTTCTCTCCATGTACAACAATCGCTAGTAGTTTGAAAAAATGCTCGGAGAATGAAGTAACATAAAGTCAAAGTTGTCCTGTTCAGAAGGTGCAGCAGATGGATACTTTACAGCAGTGGTTCTCCACCTTCCTAATGCCACGATCCCTTAATACAGTTCCTCATGTTGTGGTGACCCCCAACCATAACCCTATCATTATGAATCGCCATGTAAATAATGATCTGCAGGATGTATTTTCATTCACTGGAGCAAATTTGGCACAAATACCTGGTATGCCCAAATTTGACTACTGGTGGGGTTGGCGGGGGGATTGATTTTGTCATTTGGGAGTTGGAGTTGCTGAGATTTATAGTTCACATGTAAACAAAGAGCATTCTGAACCCCACCAACAATGCAATTGAACCAAAGTTGGCACAGAGAACTCCCATGATCAACAGAAAATACTGGAAGGGTTTGGTGGGCACTGACTTTGAGTTTGGGAGTTGTAGTTCGCCTACATCCAGAGAGCTCTGTGGGCTCAAACAATGATGGATCTGGACCAAACTTGTCACAGATACTCAATATGCCCAAATGTGAACACTGATGGGGTTGGGGAAAATAGACTGTGACACTTGGGAGTTGTAAATACTGGGATTTATAGTTCACTTACAATCAAGGAGCATTCTGAACCCCACCAATGATAGAACTGGGCCAAACTTCCCACACAGAACACCCATGACCAGCAGAAAATACTGTGTTTTCTGATGGTCTTTGGTGACCCCTCTGACACCCCTTTGTGACCCCCTCAGGGTCCCGACCCCCAGGTTGAGAAACACTGCTTTACAGGAATACCTGGATTCAAATTCTTACTTAAAATTGCTCCTTGTTGATTACTGTGCTTGTTTTGCTTAATGTTAAGTTGGGCAAGAAAGCAAAACCAAAGCAAGGCAAATATTGTGACCAGTATCAGCAATGAAACCTTCTCTCAACTCATCAGTTTTTTGCCTCATGTCTCCACATGGCCAAGATGGTATTTTGTTTCAGGGTCCAAACTTCTGCTTCCCCACAAACACGGGGGCAGATGTCTCTTATGAAAACTTCTATCAGAGGGTTGTTGTGTGTTTTCCGGGCTGTATGGCCAGGTTGTGAGACCTCACAACCTCTGAAGATGCCTGCCATAGTTGCAGGTGAAATGTCAAGAGAGAATGCTTCTGGTACACGGCCATACTGCCCGAAAAACACAACAGCCCAGTGATTCCAGCCACAAAAGCCTTCGACAATACTTCTATTAGAGTTATCTAAGTCAATTAAAAATCAGAAAGATCATCAGCTACTTGTGAGAAGGAGGCCAAAGTGGGTTTGCTTTCAATCAAGAAATTCACTAGATGGTCTTGGATAAATCATCATCTCTCATTTTTCTCAAAATAACGTAGTATTGGTCCAATCGGTGTAGCTCCATGCACTTTGAAACAATGGGAAAATGTTAATAAGCGTCTATAAATCAACCAAGGCCCCTTATTAAAAATCCTGACATGAAATATGGCAACCTTACCTCTCACAATTGAATCCCTCCACATTGTCCTTACAAGTGCAACGCCCTGTTTCCATGTTGCACTCATCTGTGCTGCCAGCAGGATCACAGGAACACCGCCTGAAAGAAAATAAAAGTACCATATATACTTGAGTATAAGCCGACCTGAATATAAGCCGAGGCACCTAATTTTACCACAACAAACTGGGGAAATGGATTGACTCAATTATAAGCCAAGGGTGGGAAATGCAGCATTTACATTAATTGAGGCATCAGTTGGTTAAATGTTTTTGAATATTTACACAAAACTGTAATTCAACATAAGACTGTCCAACTCTGATTCAACCATTATTCTAACCTTCTTCAATGTAAATATGCTTATGTATCTTTCCAATAATAATAAATAGAGTAAAATAATAACAATAGTAATAACAATAGAGTAAAATAATAAATCTAACAATAATAAATAGAGTAAAATAATGGAATAACAACAATAATAAAGTAAAACAACAACAACAACAACAACAACGTAAAATAATAAATAACCTTGACTCGAGTATAAGCCAGGGGAGACTTTTTAAGCCTAAAAAAGGACTGAAAAACTAGGCTTATACTTGAGTATATTCAGTAATCAGAATTACTGGGAAAATAAAAAAAAATCTAAATTCAGGACTACAGATTTGACACTGGATACAGCTGTTCTCCTCTTTGTTATGACCTATTAGGTTATGTAGCTTTTACCTGCAACCAGCTTCTGTGAGAGAGTGGAAACCAGGCTGACATCTGTCACATTTGTCACCCATCACACCAGGTTTACAACTGCAGCGCCCATAGTTGTCACACTGTGTGCTGAGGGAGCCTGTAAAAACAAAGTGAGTTTGGTACTGTTCAAAACATATGCACAAAAAACCAGAACTGTTTGCTGTTAAGATCCCAATATATAGTATTTCTGTAATTCTACAGGATGGACATGATAATTCAGACTAAGCAAACTGAAGTCAAACATGCAAATATGTGCTATATACACAAAGTTTAATAGCTTTAACATTTCCAATTTAGGCTGCAAGACTTAGGCCAGCTGCTGATTCATGCTGCACTAAGACAATGTTAAAGTGCTCAGATACAGTGGTTTTGACAAAAATGCCACAAACATCCAAACAATTAGTGCTGGCTGTCTACTGGTCTTCTCAAACTCCATTTTATCACCAGTGTCTTCCTGCTTTGCATTTCAGTTGGCAGAGGTAACTGATACACAGAAAGACAGCCACTGCACTATTTGAATTTATTTGGTTTACCTTCTGTCTTGTTGCATGGAGGGATTTTCCTGCTACACTTCAGAAATTTTAGAAAGCAACTCTTAATTCAGTAACAGGAGGCTGAAGCTTGGCTGCAGCAAGCCCCTCCCCACAATAACCTTCAAAATGGCTCTCCATTACCTCATTATGGGCTATAACTTATTATGGGCCATCTTATCGGGAGCAGCTCAGTACTTCATGTCTGCCATGGCAACCATGGGGCTGTCCCAACAGGTATCTGGCCCCACCCACAGTGCTGGACACACATTGGACTTGGTTTTCTGCCAGGGATGGGAGGAAGGTGGCGGTGTTGAGGAGTTATCCATCTCTCCGTTGCCATGGACCGACCATCACCTGGTCAGCTTTAGACTCACTGCACCCCCTAACCTCCGCAGAGGTGGAGGACCCATTAAGTTGGTCCGCCCCAGGAGGCTTATGGATCCGGATGGATTCCTGACGGCTCTTGGGGAATTTCCCGCCACCTTGGTTGGTGATCCTGTTGATGCCCTGGTCACTCTCTGGAATGGGGAGATGGCTAGGGCAATAGACACGATCGCTCCAGAACGTCCCCTCTCAAGTAGCCGAGCTAAACCAGCTCCTTGGTTTACTGAGGAGCTGGCAGCGTTGAAGCGAAAGAAGAGGGAACTAGAGAGCGTGTGGCGTTCGGATCCGAGCGAGCCAAATCGAACACGGTTTGTGTCCTTTTTAAGGGCATATGCCGCGGCAATAAAAGCCGCAAAGAAGACTTTCTTTGCGGCCACTATTGCGTCTGCAAAGAACCGTCCGGCTGAACTGTTCCGAGTTGTCAGAGGCCTGTTAAAACCCACCATGCAGGATGGGTGCCCTGATGACTCGGCAGCTCGCTGTGAAGCCTTTGCTCAGTTCTTTGCAGACAAAGTCGCTTTGATCCGCTCTGGTCTGGATACCATATTAATGGCAGTCTCTGAGGATGTAACACGAGCATCTGCTTGTCCAGTTTTGATGGATTCATTTCAATTGCTGAAACCCGAGGATGTGGACAAGATACTTGGAGGAATGAGGCCAACCACATGCATCCTAGACCCCTGCCCATCCTGGCTTCTAAAGGAGGCCAGAGGGGGATTGGCCGAGTGGGTGAAGGTGGTGGTTAATGCCTCCCTTCGGGAAGGCAAAATTCCAGCCAGCTTAAAGCAAGCTGTAACAAAACCGCTGTTGAAAAAACCATCACTGTACCCCACTCAATTCGTCAACTATCAGCCTGTTTCCAATCTCCCCTTTTTGGGCAAAGTCCTGGAACGTGTGGTGGCCTCACAACTCCAGGTATTCTTGGTAGACACGGATTATCTGGATCCGGCACAGTCTGGCTTTAGGCCGGGACATGGTACCGAGACAGCCTTGGTCGCCTTAGTGGATGATCTGCGCCGGGAGCTCGACAGGGGGAGTGTGTCCCTGTTGGTGCTGCTGGACCTCTCAGCGGCCTTCGATACCGTCGACCACGGTATCCTTCTGGGACGCCTCGCGGGATTGGGTCTCGGAGGTACTGTTTTACAGTGGCTCCGGTCATTCCTCGAGGGTCGGTCTCAGAAGGTGTTACTGGGGGACTCCTGTTCTACCCCACAACCTTTGTTTTGTGGGGTTCCTCAGGGTTCAATACTGTCTCCCAAGTTGTTTAACATCTACATGAAGCCGCTGGGCGAGATCATCCGGAGTTTCGGAGTGCGATGTCATCTGTACGCGGATGATGTCCAACTCTGTCACTCCTTTCCACCTGCTACTAAGGAGGCTGTCGAGGTCCTGAACCGGTGCTTGGCCGCTGTGACGGACTGGATGAGGGCGAACAAATTGAAATTGAATCCAGACAAGACAGAGGTACTCCTGGTTAGTCGAAAGGCCGAACAGGGTATAGGGTTACAGCCTGTGTTGGATGGGGTCGCACTCCCCCTGAAGACGCAGGTTCGCAGCTTGGGTGTGATCCTGGACTCATCGCTGAGCCTGGAACCCCAGGTTTCGGCGGTGACCAGGGGAGCATTCGCACAGTTAAAACTCGTGCGCCAGCTGCGCCCGTACCTTGGGAAGTCTGACTTGGCCACGGTAGTCCACGCTCTGGTTACATCCCACTTAGACTACTGCAACGCTCTCTACGTGGGGTTGCCTTTGAAGACGGCCCGGAAGCTCCAATTAGCCAACGTTCGGCGGCCATGATACTAACAGGAGCGGAGCACAGGGAGCATACAACTCCTCTGCTGCACCAGCTCCACTGGCTGCCGATTAGCTACCGGGCTCAATTCAAAGTGCTGCCGTTGGCCTTTAAAGCCCTAAACGGTTCTGGCCCAACCTACCTATCCGAACGTATCTCGGCCTATCAGCCCACCAGGACCCTAAGATCTTCTGGGGAGGCCCTGCTCTCTATCCCGCCTGCTTCACAGGTGCGGCTGGCGGGGACGAGAGACAGGGCCTTTTCTGTGGTGGCCCCTCGGCTTTGGAACGCCCTTCCCATGGAGGTAAGATCAGCCCCCTCGCTGATGGTGTTCCGAAGAAGATTAAAAACCTGGATGTTCGAACAGGCATTTGGTTAATTCGGTGCAATGAATGTAATGATTAAAGGATTGGTAATATGGACGACGAAACTGGATCACGATTTTAGTCAGGAGATGCATTGGATTGTTATTGATGTGCGAATATTATGTATCATGCTTTTATGGTTTTAAATTGTATACTGTTGATTGTTGTATTTTGTTGTAAACCGCGTTGAGTCGCCGGCTAGGCTGAGAAACAGCGGTATACAAGTATAGCAAATAAATAATAAATAATAAATAAATAACTGACAATAAATTGTGGCAACAAGATCACAGAAGCCAAGAAATGCACAAAACAAATCCTTTGTTCTCACTGAAGTAGCAGCTTGAGTTTACACCACAACAGTTCAAATGGGGATTCAAGTAACCAAGTGTCTTATATCCAAACAAGCACATTTCCTTATGGTAAGAGCTATTTGAAAATGGAATATGCTGTCTCAGAAAGTAGTGCAGTCTCCTCTGGAGGCTGGATGGCCATTTGTTGGGAGTGCATCTGCCCTGAGTCCCTTTGGGGAGATAGGGTGAAATATAAATAATAATAATAATAATAATAATAATAATAATAATTATTATTATTATATACACAGAAAGATTAGTATACAGCAAACAAGATCACCATGCTGGCTTTTGTATTCGATCACACGTTGGACACTTCCCAAGTGTCAAGGACTGTGTGATGTATTGGCAAATAATATGTGCAGATCTGAGTATAGTGGACTTTTGCAGCTGATATAATGATTTTGTCAGTGCCAATTGTGTTTAAGTGCAGGCCAAGGTCTTTAGGAACTTCACCCAGTGTGCTGATCACCACTGGGACCACCTTTACTGGCTTGTGCCAGAGTCTTTGAAGTTTGATCTTTAAATCCTCATATCGTGTAAACATTTCCAGTTGCTTCTCATCAATTCTGCTGTTGCCTGGGATTGCAACATTGATGATCCAAACTTTGTTTTTTTCCATGATAATGAAGACAGGAGTATTATGCTCCAAAACTCTGTCAGTCTGAATTCGGAAGTTTGACGTGTTCATTTTGTGTAAATATTTCACGCTTGTGATCCCACCAATTTTTGTCTCAGGCAGATGGTATTTGTGGCACAAGTTCCAGTGGATCATCTGAGCAACAGTATTATGCCTCTGCTTGTAGTCCGTATTATGCCTCTGCTGTGTTGTTGTTGTTGTGTTTTTCCTGCATGGCAGGGGGTTGGTCTCTTCTAATTCTGTAGTCTCTTCCAGTTCTACGATTCTATGAACCTTGTTTAGACTGCCAGTACGCTCTGTGGCCACCTATGCCATTGTCTTCTTCACATCATTTTCATTTCTGGTTTGATGACTGGGAACCAGGCATCAGCAGAATTGAAGCAGATATGACCTGGAGATAGTCCCATGTGCTAATTGCTATGTTATAGTATTAACCAGCAATGAGCTGGTATAAGATTTACCAATGTACAATTGATCCTTTGCACCAGTGGTCCTCAAACTATGGCCCGCGGGCCACATGCAGCCCGCCAAGGGCATTTATTCAGCCCGCGTGATCTGGCCTGGCACAAAGCCCTGGTGTAATTTACCTGCCTCGCGCTGCCCCTTGTGCGAGCCAGGCAAGGGAGGGGCTTCGTGCGAGAACAGGCCGCACGGTGCAGCCTCCCTTGCTAGGCCTGATGGGCAGTGCGAGGCGGGCGAGGGGATTGGGTCTTGCAAGCGGTGAGAGATTTTGTGCGAGGCCAGGCCGCGTGGTGCAGCCTCCCTTGCCCGGCTCGCACGATGGGCAGATCAAGGTAAGTTGCACTGTGTGGCCTGGCCTTGTGCAAAGCCTCTTGCCGCTTGCCAGGCCCACTCCCCTCGCCTGCCTCGCACCGCCCATCAGGCCTGGCAAGCAATGTAAGCAGTGAGAGCTTCGCTCGAGGCCAGGGCGCGCAGTGCAACTTACCTGCCTCGCGCTGCCCCTCATGTGAGCCAATGAGGCTAAAGAAACTATACTCCGGCCCTCCAACGGTCTGAGGGACAGTAATCTGACGCCCCTTTTAAAAAGTTTGAGGACCCCTGCTTTACACCATGGATTGTGTATGCATAGATTCAACCATCTATAACTTGAATTTAAAAACATATCTGTTTTCTTCCTTTCTATATAAGGGACACCACTTTACTACATTGTTGTATATAATGGCATTTGAGATTCAATGGTTTTAGATTTCATCTGGGGGATGTGGGGTGTGGAATCAAACCTCAGTAGATAGCAAGGGTGAGCTGTATACTGTAGAAACACTTCTAAAAGTTGTTCATTTGGTACATTCAAACTTGTTCATTTGCTTTGAAAGTATTATTTACTCGGAGAAATTTCTATACAACTTTTCATTCGCTAAAGTTTTCCTTTTTAAAAAGGAGCCACATCCTCACCTTCAGGCTAAACAAAAGAACAAACCCCACAGTTTGAAGAAGGATTAAAGAAAACAGAGGCATTTAGCAACAAAGACCTCACAAAAGCCTTTACCATATACAGTCAGCATTCTTCTGTCTGGCCTATAATTATTTCAAAACAATTACTCAGACAAAAATACCACCTTACATCAACACACTTTAAATACGTTCTGGTTGGCTGTGTGTCCTGGAATATACTGCAAGATTTTAATGCTCTTTATCAGACTTTCTATATTTGCCTTCGAATTACTGAGCTATCAGCCTTCACATTACAGTGTTCATAGCCAGGCATAAAGGAAAAACAGGAGTCTTATCACAGCCTTACTTTGGTAGAGAAACACAGCTCAAAATTTATATAGATTTCTAAGTTTGGATACCTTAATTGAGAGGCAGAAATTATTCTGTGAACTTGGTTGTCAAAAACAATTAATATTTTGTAATAATGTTCTAAGCTAACAGATTCATACATACCCAAACTTTTTCCTCTCCTCTACACAAATGCAAACTTAGTTAACACCCAAATCCAAAATTCTATTTATTTGCCACATTTCCAGAACACAAAATAATTTAGGAAACAACACAGAAGGGATACACCTGCCCTGTCTGCCAAACACAGGAGCAGTAAAAAGTTTCAACGGTCAGTGCTATAGCTTTCAAAATATGGCACCCACTGCTCCTTACACTAGGCAAGCTAGCCCTGCTAGCTCTCTTTGTCATATATACCAGATCTATTATATTCAGAACCATCTTGCTTCCACATTTAATAACGATGACCTACGAACAAAGCTTGGACAGTTACTTAAAACATAATTTGTGCCTATGACTCATTGCTGTGTTCGACAAATAATCTATTATCATTACTTGAAATAGTACTTTAAAGATAACTTGCATTGCTTCTTGCACTGATTATATTTTTATATTTTCCCAGATTGAGGAAAACCCTTTCAGATCTACAAAAGAATGGCATGAAACCTTCAGATTTTTTCTCTTTCAAAATGTCCCTAAAAATGTATTTTAAAAAATCTTTGAAAGGAAAAGAAACTATTACTCTTAATGCCACAAAAATACGTTTCCTTTTCCCATTAACTACCAGTAGTTACTTTTTAATTCAATAATTCTGAGGTCTGCTTATAACTCACATACATTATTATTTCAATTACACACACTATCATCATTATATAGAAACTGGAGTTATGCTGTGAATTCCCAATCTTTGCCTTTAAAATGATGATGATGATGAGGATGATGATGATGATGATGATGAGGAGAATGATGTCATTTTGTACTGCCATACATGTCACCTAATAACTAAAAAGCACCCAGGATCCCTATTACTTACCAACAGGATTGCAATTGCATGGTAGACATGATTCTTCACTGCCAAGACGGTAGAAATTCTCCCGGCACCTTTGACAGTTTGGTCCATCTGTGTTACCAAAGCAGCCAGTGCAGTGGCCTCCATGACCCGTGGAACGGTACAGCTCTGGATCAAAATAACACTCCTGCGATCGTCCATTGCAGTTACAGGCTACATACAAGGCAGAAAAATGTATTTGTTCAATAGGTTGGAAAGAAGATTTCTTTTAATTCCATTCTACTTCCACTCTGCTCCAAGGCAATAGGTCCTGAAACAAACACTAGCAAGTCTCTAACGTTTTACGTCCAAAAATGCAGACTATTGAAAAAGAAATAAATGGAGCAAAAATTAAAAGGGGTCAGGATGTGGGTAAAGAAAGGCACCAGAAACATAGGAAATTATTTCTTTATGTTCAGAGATGACAAGTGAGCATTTGCTCCTTCAGAGAAGACTCTGCTTTAACCATATAGAAAACAAAGATTCATTCTATACAGTATTATACACAAAACAAGGAATCATTCTATACTACTCTCTTTTAGAGTTCATCGTGGGTTTTTTTTTTTAAAAATCAGAACACTGTGGTTTCCTTTCTTGTAGTTTATGGGGTCACCACAAATACCACAGGCAGAGAGTATCAGTAATGCTTCTGTATTGCAGAAGGCAAGCCTTTAGCTATAGATACGTCAGAAAACTTTGGGTGGTTTATTTAGAGTTAGAAGGATATATTTATTTTGAACTAAGCAAGAACCTCACAACCTCTGAGGATGCCTCCCATAGATGCAGGCTAAATGTCAGGAAAGAATGCTTCTGGAACATGGCCATATAACCCGAAAAACTTAACACCAACTAAGATAAGAACTGAAAGAACAGCTTCCCCCACCAATTCCCATATGAGCTGAAGCAAAGCTAAATGACTCTTCAATCAATCACTCTTTGCCTATATGCAAAGCAAAGCAAACATGCCTCCTTTGAATGAATCAAGTTATCAGCTCCCATTTTTGAGCACATGGGAGGCAACATTTTGGGTGCATAAGCCAGAATGATGCCAATGTTTCTCATACCAGGAGGATGGAGGGTATTAATTTTATATAGTATACTAGCTGTCCCCTGCCAAGCGTTACTGTGGCCTAGTCTGGTGATCTGGAAAATAAAGTAATGAGAAAGTGTTGGTTTCTAACATATGTAATTTCTTTATGCTTGTGGGTAAACAGTATTTCTTGCTGTTTCTTTGTCAGTGTTGATGTGGAGATTGTCTGGTTTGCCTACTCTGGAACATGCAACATATAATTGTCATTCCTTAGGGATCCCTTTCAAGTCTATGATACTATATCTGTCATATACATGTGTGTGTGTGAATCATATATATCTATGGCTGAATGGCTCTTTGTCAGGAAGGCTTTGATTACGTTTTCTTGCCCTTGTGAAGGGAGTTGGACAGGATGGCCTTAAGTATGGGGGTTCTGTATGGGAAGTTTGCCCCAGTTCTGTCGTTAGTGGGGTTCAGCATGCTCTTTGATTATAGGTGAACAATAAATCCCAGTAACTACAACTCCCAAATGTCAAGGTTTATTTCCCCCCAAACTCCACCTATGTTCATATTTTGGGCATATGGAATATTCATGACAAGTTTGGTCCAGATCCATTACTGTTTGAGTCTACAGTGCTCTCTAGAACTACAACTCCCAAGGTCAATGCCCACCAAACCCTTTAGTCTTTTCTCTTGGTCATGGGAGTTCTGTGTGCCACGTTTGGTTCAATTTCATCATTGGTGGAGTTCAGCATGCTCTTTGATTATAAGTAAACTATAAATCCCAACAACTACAACTCTCAAATGGCAAAATAATTTTTTTGCGTGATGGTCACTCCTTGGGTTAGTAGGTATCTTGTGGGCAAATTTGGCAGCAATTCGTCCAGTGGTTTTGGAGTTATATTACTCCCACAAATGAACATTACTTTTTTTTTATTGATATAGATTGAGAGCCCTTCAAGGTCAGTCTTCTCTCCTTCTCTTCGTGAATTATTTATTTATTTATTTATTTATTTATTTATTTATTTATTAACTCCCTTTCCCCCTCTTCTTTTTGGGTTAAATTTGTAATAAATTTTCTCTTTCTTTATGCTAAGTTCGCCCTGGATTTCACCCGTAAATCCGATCCAATACCATTCACTGTATTTTAAAGTAATTGTTTGTTTGTTGGTTGACTAATTAGTTATTAATGCCTTAGGGGTCTTCCTTCTTAACTCCATCCACTATCCTCTCTTGATTTCTTCCTTCATAGGCAGTTCCTCTTTTCTCTATTTTTCTTTCCTTCCTTCTTGGAAGGAGTACTCCACCCTCCTCTCAGGACCCCCTATCTTACTTACTTACTTTTCCTCTTAAGTTCTTGTTCTTTTCCATTTAAAATGCACATGCTCAGGGATAATTCAGGTTCCTTCCTGACTGTTAGCTTACGGGGGGGGGGGACGGGGGGGGGAACAAGGTACAGAACAAGGGAGGTTATTTGGAAAGAGGGAATGGTAATCAAAGCCTGAGCTGAACTCCCAGGCCAACTGTCAGTCCTACATTTCAGCCTCATGTCTTCCCAGTGTCATGAAATGCTTAGGAAAGCCACCAGTACGTCGGCTGAGAGATTCTGGGTGTTATGGTAAAAAAAGCAGTATTCCAAGCTGCTCCCAATTCATACTGCTCCCAATTCAGCCAGACTGAGGGCAAAGCCAGGGCAGAAAATGGCAGAGGGAGCTGCACATGAATGAAAGCACAAACCAGGAATTATTTTACAAAGCACACATGCCCTAAGAACGTCAAACTCTACTCTAGGAAGAAGCCATTTACTTTGATAGAAAAGCTAGTTCATAGAGAGTGTTGCAATGGGAAAATGCTGGTGGATGTACTGAATTTTCCACCCGGCTGCCTTTCCAGCTGCGCTAAAGTTCTTTCCCTTCCCACAGCCCTCCCACACAGTTACACTGTTCTCTGGCATTCACACTGCAATGAAGATAACGGTGAAACCAGCCGCTCCCAGCTGCATCCTGTGATGGAGCAAAGTTTCAGCTTTCCTTAGTACAGACAGATCCAATTGCTCATGTCTAGGATACTATGAAGAACAAGAGCCATCAGACATGAGTTTTGCCAGACTTTCAAGTCAAGTCACGGGTTCACACAGACAACTGTTAAAAAGTAACTTTTCCAAGCAATACAATACAATTCTGTATTCTACAGAACTCCCTTCCTTCTCTCCATACAGGAGCAGAGTAGTGTACATATTAAGATCAGGTGGGTGAAACTGTGCCTTCAAAAAGATTTGAGCAGTTGCATCATTGCAAAGGAAGGAAACTGGGAAGCACCAAGGTTTTCTAAAACAATGATACAATTAACAATCAAAGTGGCAGGACAGGAGCTCCCAGATGAATCACTAAAATGCAAAAAGTAAGCATCTCATCCTGAACTAACTTAACAAAGGAAAGTGAACGATGTTGCATGGTGGTATTATCTGGGATAGTCTGCTGGGATGAGAACATCAACTCACCATTCTCACAACCATATGAAATTAAAAAGTAGCATGACTGATTAATTAAAGCCTCCTCTGCCATCCATACTGTAATAATGATAGCAGAAGTTCAGGAAAAATGAGTTGTATATCCAGTAAGATTTGAACACAGCATCACAGCATACCCTACCAGTGTTTTTAAACAGTTTCTTTCTGTATAAGGTTTATACTTGACCTTTTCAGTGATATTGCCTCACAATCTCCACATCTGAGTCTCTTTCCATTGTCTAGTACATGTCCCTACTCCACCCCATCAACCATCTGTTTTGCAATGTATACATGGAAGTACTTGCACGCTGTGGCATGCTTCCTGCAACTTCAAGGGAAAATGGTGAATGGACATGGAAGGTAATTTTACCAGAAGTGCTGTTCCTTTTGTCTTTCTTCTGCTCTTCCCACCTGGCAAAAAACTGTGCCAGATATCAACCTGATGGGCAGGTACTGAAAGCTCAATTTTTCTGCACTTTCTGAAGTTTCTGTTCTGTATTTCAGAAGTGCAAACCCTTATTTTCTGCTTGTCTGTCAGAAGCAATTAAATGTAGCTGAAACCCAAGATTTTAATCCCTACACTCTCCTGTTCCCTCCACTTTTAGAAACCTTAAAAGTCTTAAAGACAGAGTTATATGATGTAAAGAGTCAGTACTGTGTGGTGGTTTTAGTGTTGGACAAGGACAATGTTGAGATCAGGGCTCCAATCCTGGCTCAAATGACTTGAGGGCAAACAACAAAGGAAAAGAGTGTTTCTCAAAGACAGCCCTGCATTGTTGCCAATCTATCCTTAAATTACCAATACAGGTGTGCTTTCTGCCTTGAAAGAGCCAATAACAGAGCCAATAAATGCACCAGTATTATGTAGGAGGAGCCTGAAAACATGGTTGTTCCAGTGTGCCTTCCCAGAATAAGGAAAATGCTCAGCAACATGCCCTCAAATGCACTTTACTTCTGGTTTAGGATTGATTGTGTTCCCTCATCTCCCTTTTATATCCTACCTTGTTCATGCCCAGCATTTATGTTTTATTTTTTAAACTGTTACATTTGGCCTAGGCATAGGTTTTTTAAATCCTTGTGTGTTACTGTTTATTAGTTACTGTTTATATGTGATTTATATTAATTGTATTTATTGTTTTTGTTTATTACTTTTGTTTATTGATGTACTGTTGGGTTTGGCCCCATGTAAGCCACACCGAGTCCCTTGGGGAGATGGTGACGGGGTATAAATAAAGTTATTGTTATTATTATTATTATTATTATTATTATTATTATTATTATTATTATTACGTCAGTGCATAAAATGAGATATGTTCTGCACAGACTATGGCTCTTCACTGTTATTCTTTTGATTCTGCCCAAAGATAAGGGAACACATTTCAGTCCAATAAGTATTTCTAAGTCACCAGTATTCAGATCCTAAGGGCTAAACAAAATAATTAATCACTTAAAAGATGTTTTTATCAAGAATTCATGCCTCATTTTAGGAAGAAGAGTTTTTTATATGATTATTTCAGAAAATTGATTCTCAAGGAAGGCATGGAAGAAATAATCATTGCACGTAAGTATTTTTAAACAGTTTCCTTAAAACTGGCCTCCCACACTTACGATGGCTCTGTTCTACTACACAATAAGGATAGATGTGGATAACCTTTAACCCTACAGATGCTGGCCTACAGTTTGAATCTGTCCCAATCAGTGTGGCCGATGGTAATAAATGGTGGAACTGCAGTTCAAAATCTATGGAAGGCAGAGTTTCTTGCTCTGGAGAGAGAAACTGTCATGCTGCAGTCCTGAACTCGAGTGAACTCAAGCAGAAGCCATCTGTGAACACTTTATAGCATTATCAATCCTCCTCCCACAGAAAAGGAGTCATTCTGGAACTTTTGAAATAGCACAGATGTAAGAAGCTTTGGAGGAAGCAGTCCCGTCTTGTATCATACAGGATGTTGTAAAGTTCTGCATACCAAGGCTAATTTTGATGGGCATATCTCTCATTAATGTCTCTTTGACTCGTCTCTTCAGCCTTGTGACTAGGGAAAGCTTTTCTAGCACAGGGCTCACTGCAGTTCCAGGAGTACCATGTACCTTTTAATTAAACCTTTCAATGCTTCACTCAGGAGAAAGACAACAAATTCAAATTACTGTCCATTTTGCAAATAACCTCACACCCAATATTCTGGATGTTTCGAAGCCATAATCAGAATAGTGTAAATGTCACATTCTTTCAAATGTTGAGAACAAGCACAGGTTTCCTGACTGGTTTGTTTTTTAACCCAAAAACACAATTCTAGCAATAACATATGCAAAGATGTGCTTTAAAAATATGCAACTGATCTTAATTTTTTTTTTGTCGTGTCAGGAGCGACTTGAGAAACTGCAAGGGAGGGAGGGAGCCCCCGGTGGCACAGTGGGTTAAACCCCTGTGCCAGCAGGACTGAAGACCGACAGGTCGCAAGTTCGAATCCAGGGAGAGGCGGATGAGCTCCCTCTATCAGCTCCAGCTCCTCATGCGGGGACATGAGAGAAACCTCCCACAAGGATGATAAAAACACCAATTCATCCGGGCGTCCCCTGGGCAACGTCCTTGCAGGCCAGAAGCGACATCTTAAATGAAGTGTCAGAAGCCACAAGGGATTTCCAATGAGAATTTTAGATACTTAGGAAAGACTTTAATTACTGGTCTAGCCCTTTGCCCCACCTCCAGAGCAAATTCAGGCAGTCCCCAAGCTACAAACAAGATAGGTTCTGTAGGTTTGTTCTATAGCAGTGATTCCCAAAGTGGGCGTTACTGCCCTCTGGTGGGCGCTGCAGCGATCGGGGGGGGGGGGGGGGGGGGGGGGGGGGGGGCTAATGTCCACATGTGCATTTGGGGGCGATTAATAACTGTAAGGGGGTGGTGAAAGCATAAAAGAAAGAAGAGAAAATTTAGAAAAATCGATTCCCAGGAGGTAGGCCAAATAAGTTTGGGAACCACTGTTCTATAGTTTAATTTGTTTGTAAGTTAGAACAGGTACATTTCTCAAGTGTAACTCAAGACTATGTGTATGTGTGTCTGTATATACATGCGCAAGCTTTGGGCAGCATAGGGAAGGGTTAACACCACTGTGGTATTTGTTTTATGTCTGTGCCCCCTGTTAATAAGATTTTAACTCACTTTCTGTCCCTGTGATAACTGGATTTTGAAAAAAATTGACTTGGTGACAGTAAGAATTGGTGATAAAGCTTCAGTGGAGACACCTTTTCCCCATGGTAACTCTTCCAAGAGTGAATTTCCCTTCTAAGGGGTAGATTTCTCTCACTTCCTGTTGTTTCACTCCCACTCTTGACTATGAATTGTTTTTAAGTCAGATGTTTGAAAACTTGGGGACTGCTTGTAGTTGCCATGTGATAGGTGCAAAAGGAGAGGAGTTACGCATTTCAGCTTTAGGCAAACTAAGCAGAAATGCATGACCACTCCTATTGTAAATACATTGTTACAATCTTCATGACTACTAGTAGTCATGAAGAATGCAGTTTCGTATGCATATGGTTTCAGGATTTGGTTCAGCTTGAAACAGATTACTTATCTATCTATTTTGGCATGTAGAATACAAGTTCTATTTGATAATTGGTTAAGCCTAGGGAGTTATAATAAATCAACAAGAAATGAAGGAGAAATACATTTTCCATTTTGCAATTTGGACAAATAGCTAGGTGAGCCAACAATAACTACAGATAAAGAACCAGCAGTAGCTAGTGTGGTCTAGATTTGCGATATTAAGAGAAGAATTACCCAACACTCTGAAGGGCCAAATAAATTTCTACTGCATATTATGTGCCAAGAGATAACATGAAACAAAGATATTGGGTTAGAGTTATAAATATATTAACCTGCTGCATTAATACAGAATGAGAGAGAAAGCAACCAGAATCTATCTGGAGGCAAAAGGAAGAGAACACACTGGAGAGACTTAAAATTGGCTACCGCCTACTTGACAGTAGGAGGTGGTGAAATAACTGGCAGGAAGATTTTTCTTCTTAGACAGAGCCAGATTATTTAAGAACAACCCCAACGCATACTTACGCAAACATTCATTGGCGCTCTCTGCAGTTGCTCTTCGCCAAGGCCGGTCATTGTAAAAAGGGAGGCACTTTTCACAGTCAACCCCAAAGGTATTGTGTTTGCAATTGCAGGAAAGTTTTCCATATTCATTCTTCACACACTCACTTGCATGGCCATTGCACTTGCATCTGAAAGATAAGAACAAGCTTCAGAGGGGAAAGCCAGCAACATATATGACTTCTGCTAAAGCAAGACCCTACTGCTCAAGCAACCACGCAGATTCTGATTTCAGGGATCCCTAGGCCCAAGCCAAGAAATACGACATTCTGCTAAATTGGACACCTGCAACAGCTGTGGAATATTTGTGTCCTTGCCTTGGAAAGTGCAAGTTAGTGGCCTTCTTGGAAGATAAGTTCAAGCACTTTGAGGCCCATGTATCCATACTCCAACATATTAGGTAGGGAGTGGTTGCCTTGAACCCAGCAGAGCAGAGGATTTTGCAGGAGAAACACACAAGGAATGTCTTTAAGGAGGAGGCTACTCCCCAAATATAGGAGGTCAACACTTGGAAGAGAGCATGCGGTGGCGCAGTGGATTAAACCCCTGTGCTGGCAGGACTGAAGACCGACAGGTCACAGGTTCAAATCCGGGAAGAGGCAGATGAGCTCCTCTATCAGCTCTAGCTCCTCATGCGGGGACATGAGAGAAGCCTCCCACAAGGATGATAAAAACATCAAATCATCTGGGTGATCCCTGGGCAACGTCCTTGCAGACGGCCAATTCTCTCGCACCGGAAGCGACCTGCAGTTTCTCAAGTCGCTCCTGACACGACAAAAAAAAAAAAAAAACACTTGGAAGAAAGTAACACAAAGAAGTAGAAGGACCAGGAAATTTTTGAGCTGCAGAATCAGTTTAAAGGTCTCTCCAGAAATAAGTGATGACACAGACAGCCAGACATACAACAGAATTTGTCCTCAGGGAAAGGCCTCCTGGAAGAGGCTGTACATGGAATGGACCCTGCAAAACCTCCAGGAAAGATGGTGGTGGGGGATTCCTTGCTGAGGGAAGCAGAAGCAATGATTTGAAGGACCAACAGTATGACTTGAGAGATGTGCTGTTTCCCCCTTGGGTAAAAATCTGAGACTTAACAGAAAGGCTTACAAAGCATGTCAAGACCACAAAACACAGTGCCTTCCTTTTTGGACCATGTGGGAACCAATGGCACTGCAAGGCACAATCTTCAGGAGATCACACAAGATTACCAAGCTATGAGTAGGAAGCTGATGCATAGTAGGCCTTGATGGATAAGTTGTCATTTTATCTCAAGGACACAACCCAGGAAGGGAAAGAAGAATAACAGAAGTGAATATCTGGCTTCAAAGATAGTGCCATAAAGAACAATTTGGCTTCCTGGAACATGGCCTGAAGTTTAATGAAGTTGGACTTCTGGCAGCAGATAGTTTGACTCTCTTGGCAGTTGCCAGGAACATTTTTGCTAAGATTCTCACAAGCCTGATCTTTAAAGTGTGAATTTTCTGTGGGAGGGAGACAGTATTCATGTAAGCAGGAGTTTATCAGAAAAAAAATACCCCAATTGTTATAGAGAGAACTGGGCAAAAAAGTAAGCTAGGTTTAACAGTCGGGTGCTCAATCCAACTTGGGCTTCAAACTTGCCACCTTCCAGTCGGCAGTGATCTATTGCTACTGGTGATTAACCAGCTGTGCTACAGCCCGGTTGGAGTAACACTGTATTCTAAGAACGTTTACATCCGTGAGGAAGTCCATGATGTAAGTTGACTTAAAAGCCAAATTGAAGCTATCTGGGTAAAAATGATAGAATCATAGCGTTGGAAGAGACTGCATAGATCATCTAATCCAACCTCCAGCCATGTAGGAAAAAGCGGAAAAGAAACAACAGTGATGAAAGAAACTACAGACCTCCAAACCAGACTAAGGACCTGGATGATGCCTTCAAAGAACAGATCACACATTCAAAAAGAAGAGATGTAGTAACAACAAAAGATTTCAACTATCCTGTTGCATATCTGCCTGTTCAGCCTGGGATTGTGTCTGGTGTTCACGTTGATGTTCATGAAGGATGTTGATCTGGTTCCTGGCCAGGGTTTGGGGATGAGGGGTTGCTCGGGCCTGAATGAGGTTTAAAAGAGAGGCCAGAAGGGCCTGAGTTGCTGCAAAGGGATTCTTAAGGTCCCGGGCTTGGGAAAGGCCTTTTGCCACAGTTACCTGGTCAATTATCTGAGAAGCGGGAAGTTGATTTTGAGGTGCCAGGTGCAGGAGTTAATGATGGGAGCAAGAACTTGAACAGGAAAAGAAGTTTTAGTAAACAGAGACAGTCTGTGCAACAATTAAGAAGCTAGGCTTCAACAGAAGAGAGATAGTAAACTGAAACTGAGAAATAATCAGTTTCTAGCAGTTTTTGCAGTCGGGGAAGAGATTATAAATGATTTGTGAGAGACGATTGCTTCAGCTGAAGCAACGTCGGAATAACTTAGCGGTCAAGTTTCAAGCACCATGGTCTGCCTAACTCATGTTTTGCCTTTGGGATATGCTTTTGTTTTGTTCATAGATTCAAGTGCCTAGTTTCATGGATTTCCTTGGACTCTTTGTTCCTGTCTTTCTTTGTATCAATTGGATTACTTTTTACTGTGGATTACTTTTTACTGTTTCGGCTACATATATTCCTCAATAAACTGCTTGCTGTTTTTCCCACCTGGTGTGATGTTTAAAGTCAGAGGTGATTCTGCTCTAGGGTACGACATATCCTAATATCTGTTGGAAGACAATCTCTGCCAAGATTATCAGAGCCAACAAACCCCTCACTTGTCTTGCAGACAATTTCATTTTCCAGAAGATAGAAGAGGCAATAAGGGGATCAGAACTTTACATAGATGCAGTAGTCACAAATCTTTGTGAAAGAACTATGACTCTCCTTATACAATCAGCGAACAGGGGGAGAGTGCCATACGCAGATCCCCCAATGAACTTTGAAATTAAAATGAATCAACTAATTCCTATGGTGACATAACACACTACATGTTGGGAACACTGATAATAATACAATAAAGAAACACATACAATGTTCATGAATTTCCCTGAGAAATTTAGAAGAGAACATCTTAACCAGGGGTCCTCAAACTATGGCCTGGGGGCCAGACGTGGCCCTCCAAGGTCATTTACCCGGCCTTCACTCAGGGTCAACCTTAAGTCTGAAACGACTTGAAAGCACACAACAACAACAACAACAACAACAACCTATCTCATCAGTCAAAAGTAGGAAAGTAGGCCCACAATTCCCAATGAAATACTAATAATTTTATATTTGTTGAAACTGTTCTTCATTTTAATTATTGTATTGTTTTCAAGTGTTTTTTGCACTACAAATAAGATATGTGCAGTGTGCATAAGAATTCATTCATGGTTTTGTTTTTGTTTTTTTCAAATTATAATCTGGCCTTCCAACAGTTTGAAGGACTGTGACCTGGCCCTCTGTTTAAAAAGTTTGAGGACCTCTGATCTTAACAATAAACTTCTATGGCAGGAAATTGGAGTAGATGACTAACAAAGTCCTTTTAGCTCTATAATTCTATGATTCTATAAAATGATCTCAACCCTTTTGACTACTGGTTTGATAACATCTGATTTATGATAACACCATTGTGAATGAACATACATTAAAATATCTTGCTATGGACAAAAGATGCCATAAAAATGTTGTCAAAGGCCAAAGCAAATAATTTGGTTTTTTGAAACTTGCATCAAGTTGACTGAGTTATGGCAATTAAGTACTTACCATACATGTTCATGTATAAGTTGACTTCACTTTTTAAAGGGAAAATTTGGAGGCCAAAAGTATGGATTTTGATATGGTAAGTGAGCATGATTTTGTAGAGAAGGGAAAACACCAATGCCAAGACTTTTACATGAGTATATTGGGTAAGCTAAAAGATAATTGAGTAGTGATTACTACTTACCTGCCACCCACAGCAAAGTCAGAAATTGCATAATAATAGGACTTGAGAACTTTGGGATCATTAAAAACTTCATCTCCAAAGGTGTTCAAGCGATTGAGAGTCACTCTGATATCAGTGGCAGTTACCCAGTCCTAGAAGAGAAAACAAATGTAACAGACAAGCCACAGAAACTCTAAATGTACACAAATATACACATTTTAAGGAACTAGAGGCATTTAAAGGAAATTTGAGCCAAGTATGAGGTGTAAGAAACACAGACATGAAGAAAATGAAGAAGGAGAAGGAGATTAGTAGAATGATACCTTGGAGGGGAGGAAAAGGAAAAAGGTACACAGAGATTTAAGGCACACGGTGTTATTTAAACAAGGAATTTCCCTGATGCTAAACTCATTCCCGGAATAACAGACAAAAGCAGAAGCGTTCTCTCATGCCCAAACAGAGAAAACTGGAGAAAAAAGCAAAAGACTCTCATTAGGTTCATATTTTTTTAGCAAGTGAACAAGACCCAATTTAGATCTCAACATCTAAATTGTACAGATAACTGCCTTGAAGTTGTCTGTTGATTTATGGCAACCTCATGAATTCCTCAAGGTTTTCTTAGGAAATATGAGATATGGCCCATAACACCTGGTATTCTTTGGAAGTCCCACATTTAGGTACTAGGTACAGAGACTCTCTCATTGCTAAACTATAACTCTAATAACTCACAGTCATTTATACAACAAGCTAGTGAACAGAACCACTGGAAGAAGTTGTTTTTTTTTTAAATCAGAATTACAATGATAAATTTTAAATGCTAACAGGAGAACAGTAAGAAAAAATACCACCAATAATGCTAGAAAAACTAAGCAAAATGCAGACCAAAGTCCTGTTTTGCAGATATGTGAAAATGATACCAGAAAAAGAGCATATGGATCTGACAAGACAGGAAGGTCCAGAAGACGGGCGCCACAACTGAGTAACTCTCATACTGTTTGTTTGTTTGTTTATTTGTTTATTACAGCCTTTGTTCTCTAGACAAAGGCTGTAATTACAAAAAGTTCACTTCTAATGACTTTTGTGGGTAGAGGACAAAATAAGAAGAAATAGTATCCAAGCTTGTCAAAAGCTTTCATGGCTGTAATCACTGGGTTGTTGTAGGTTTTCCGGGCTGTATGGCCATGTTCTAGAAGCATTTTCTCCCGACGTTTCACCTGCATCTATGGCAGGCATCCTCACAACCTCTGAGGATGCCTGCCATACATGTAGGTGAAACATCAGGAGAAAATGCTTCTAGAACAGGGGTCCTCAAACTAAGGCCCAAGGGCCGAATGCAGCTCTCCAAGGTCATTTACCCAGCCCTTGCTCAGGGTCAACCTAAGTCTGAAATGACTTGAAAGCAAACAACAACAACAACAACAACAACAACAACATAGAACTTCATTCATTTTTTTTTCAAATTACAATCTGGCCCTCCAACAGGGACTGTGACCTGGCCCTTTGTTTAAGAAGTTTGAGGACCCCTGTTCTAGAACATGGCCACACAGCCCGAAAAATCTACAACAACCCATTATCCAGGCTGCAAATCATTTAGAAGTCTAAAGTTGGTAGCAACCATTTCAATCATGCCCAGAAGTGGATCAACAGCCAGTACAACTGATGTTAATGGGATGTCCATGCATCAATAACAAAAATAAATGGCAATGAACCCCAACTAAGCAGACTGCCATTTCTGGACTGTTTTCAAATGTAACTTTATCACTAAACATGTCAAGCATGTTACACCAGCCTAATGTTTATGAGTAAGAAACGTATAACTGTACAGTTTGACTTTCTTCAAAACCAAACATTTTCAGCACGCTAACACTGCATCAATAGGAGCATAGTGTCTAGATCTAAGGAAGTAATGCTACCCCTCTATTCTGCTTTGGTTAGACCACATCTGGAATATTGTGTCCAATTCTGGGCACCACAATTCAAGAGAGATATTGACAAGCTGGAATGTGTCCAGAGGAGGGCGACTAAATGATCAAGGGTCTGGAGAACAAGCCCTATGAGGAGCAGCTTAAAGAGCTGGGCATGTTTAGCCTTCAGAAGAGAAGGCTGAGAGGAGAAATGATAGCCATGTATAAATATGTAAGGGAAAATCATAGGGAGGAGGGAGCAAGCTTCTTTTCTTATTCCCTGGAGACCAGGACACAGAACAATGGCTTCAAACTACAAGAAAGGAGATTCCATCTGAACATCAGGAAGAACTTTCTGACTGTGAGAGCTGTTCAGCGGTGGAACTCTCTGCCCAGGAGTGTGGTGGAGGCTCCTTCTTTGGAGGCTTTTAAGCAGAGGCTGGATGGCCATCTGTCAGGGGTGCTTTGAATGCAATATTCCTGCTTCTTGGCAGGGGGTTGGACTGGATGGCCCATGAGGTCTCTTCTAACTCTTTGATTCTATGATTCTATGATTCTATGAAAAGCTCAACAAACGGAGTTCCAGAGTACATGTTCTCAACTAATTTATGTGTCATGTATGAGTCTAGTACACCCTCCACTGTACTAGATCAGCATAACCAAACTGTGGATGCTGTACCCTAGGTTTTAAATGTGTCACCGTGTCATTGTTTTTACTGTTTTATTGTTTGCTTTATGTTTTTATTTGCTTATGAGTTTTATTATGTATTTGTATGTTATTGTTTGTTGGCGGCCTTGGCCTTTGTAAGACACATCAAGTCCTTCGGGAGATTTTGTGGGGTATAAATAAAGTTAATAATAATAATAATAATAATAACAACAACAACAATAGTAATAATAATAATACCAAAAAGGTAATCACAGCCAGTTATGTATTTATCTATACCGCACTGTCCAGTGCACAATTCAGTAAGTTCATTTAGATGTCTTGTCAAATTATTATTGGCGCTGTCCCTTCTCCCTCTATACCCAAATGCAAATACCCTATCTCCTTATATCTCTTGTCTGTTGTCCTAGTTTGAGGGAAAATGACAAATTACAGTTTTCTCCAAGGTGGGAAATTCCACTTGCCACACATACAGGGCAAGGGAGCCTGGGGGCCCGACTGTACTCAGGGATATAATTATGGTTTAGTTATATATTTCAACCAATCCAGTAGCACAACTATTTTTCATTAAAGTAATCAGCCTATGAAAATGCAACCTACCTTGGAATTCCAAAGTCCTACAACTATTTTCTTTCCTTCCAAGTGATTTGCAATGTTTTATAGAACTGAATTCAGGAGGTTTGGAAGAAGATAAAAAACCGAAGCTAATGCATACATATGGACCTGGTTTGCTAGAAGTTTTTCAGTCACACAGTCTATGTAGAACACACATACTGTAGCATACTTATGTGAATGCTTCATTGACATTTCCAGCTTACTGTTTGAATGGGCTTATCAACACACAAGAGAAATTGACATTAAATTGTCCACCTGTAATATTCCCTATTCTTCAAAGCAAAGAGCCAAAACTGGAACTCTTCTTTCAATATTTGGAGTCTTCATTCAGACACATATCAAATAGTAATTTGCACGGCCTTTGTGTTTAAAGAACTCACATATGTGTGCACAACACACACACACACATTTAATGTAAAAGTAGCTTTAAATATGTTGACTTCAATATGAAAAGGAAACAGGTGGGTCCAAAGACAAACACAATAACAATGCAGTGCAACAGCTTTATTTCCCTTAAAAGGAAGATGTCTCATTTCCTTATTAAAGAGGTGTGAGTCAATATAAATCTTGACTGGATAAAAATCAGCAATGATTTCTAACGTGGAACAACTTGCACAGTGAAACACAAAAGAAACCAAAGAAACAAATTCTCAATAGTCCCTCACTTACTAATTACTCTTCCTTATGTACCCTATTCTATCCATCAGATTATTATCTCACAGTTCATGTTCCAAGAGAGGAGGAACAGGAGACTTGTGAGTATCTTGAACTGGGAGTCTACATCTGAGTCTGTTCCCAACCTGCCTGCAAGGCCAGAAACTGCTTTAAGTGTCCTACTTTCATACTCTGCATGTGTCCATACACATGCCTTCCTACATGCAGTCTTTCTCTATATTCAGTATTTCATCTCTCTCATTCTCACCATGGCTTTTACCACATTCACATAGTATCTAGAGCACACACATCAATGCAGTTCATCTCCACATTCACATAGCCCATCCTTTTTACCCATCCAGATTATATTTTCTTGAAGGATTATTATGCAAGAAGACCAGGCTTAACTCTCCTCTTCTCAAATACTTCCTCCCATGTAAACTGCATTCCCCCAGCTGACTGAAAAGTTGTTGAATGTGGGTTGTTGTAGGTTTTTTCGGGCTATATGGCCATGTTCTGGAGGCATTTTCTCCAGACGTTTCACCTGCATCTATGACAAGCATCCTCAGAGGTAGTGAGGTCTGTTGGAACTAGGAAATTGGGTTTCCTAGTGATTCTGGCCATGAAAGTCTTTGATGATACGTTGTTGAATGTGTTTTAGGAAACATTATTTACATAGTGAGAACAGTATCCAGGGACTAGCAGAGCTATCTAGTATCTTCATCATCACAAAAGTCTTCTACTGGCCTGACAAGCAGTTTCCAAATGGATTTGGCATACCAGAAGTTAGGGGCAGAGGAGGGAAGGAGTGACTCCCATGAACACTAAACACCTTCATAAGGCTGCCTACAGACCACAGGTCAATCAGATGTGGGCTAAGAAAAACCCATGCATTTTGGGATCCAATCATTCAGAGAAAGAAGAACAGAGAAATGCAGTTCCAATTGTACTTACTGTGGTGGGATTTAGGAGATGATGATGATGATGATGATGATGATGATGATGATGATGATGATGATTATTATTACTATTATTTATACCCCGCCCTATATCCCAATCCCAAAATGGAGTGGTTAACAACATAAAAGGCAAATATTATTTACTACATTTAAATCCCGCTCTTCTCACCCCAGCAGGGGGACAAGTACAAACATACAGATGTAACTTAATAAAAAGCATTTAAAACCCAACCGAATTTGATAATAAAAAATCATAAGAATACAACAAAATCTGGATTCTCAAGAAGTGGTATATGCCAGCTACAACCTCTGATCCCATTTCAGTCTTCCTTACCTGCAAGACAGGGCTGTTGTCAAAGTTATAAGCACTGGGCCTCCCTTCCAACGTTGAAAAAGCCACATTGCCTCCTGTCAACGGAGAGATGTCGCTGAATTCATCTGTGCAAAGTGCCTGCTGTTCATCTTCCCCAGTCCTGATGAAGCCTCGATTTGATTTGTGGTAGGTATTCTCACAGGATCCACTGTAATACTGATAAGGTACCCATGGGCCATCTTCCCGGGTCCGTTTGTAAATGGCAAAGCTCTCTGGGCGGCTGGTGTGGAACTTCAGGCGTACATAGGTAATATCAAAGGCCTTTCCTATAAGGAAGAGGAAATGTAGCTGATTAGACAAAAACAGCTGAGAGTACAAAGAGAGACAAGAGATGTTTCTTCAATTTTTCCAAAGCCATTGAAGGCTTGGATTCTTTAAAATGCTTCTGTATTATGTTCTGTGAAATATATTATGGATAATTTAAGTTTTATGGACCTTCCAGAATCCTCTAATTAGCCAGTAGCCCTTCAGATTGAAGCTCAAATCCAAATGAGACCTTTCCTGGCCTCTGAGTCTGTAAAGCCAGAATGAACACTTATATTCACCATACTGCAAATATGTATACAGTCACCCTCCTTCCTGAAAGTGAAAACTAAAGAAATTACTGGATATGAAGGAACATCTCCCCTTTCATTCTTGCCATATATTCAAGACCTCTGGGGAATTCTTTTCTCAAAGACTCACTGAGGGAAATACATTAGGAATTTACAAAACGGAAGGCCTTCCCAGTGATGTCATTTTGGCTTTAGTGTCAACTTTGATCTTTTCAGTAAATATGGCATTAGAAATTCTGAAATGTAAAATTTAACAGACTAAATTGATGGTGTTTTCAACATCCTCCAGGTGATTCTATGCTATAGTATGCTTCTGCCAGAAGTTATCATACAGTCAAGTTGGAGGGCTGAGCAAATTCCTAAAAAGACTCCCTCTCTAGAAATTTTCTATGTCCTCCAGTGGGACGCCATGGCTATTTCAGGCAGAAGTTATTCATTTCAACAGAGTTTGCTATTATCCATGTGTTCCTGCTTCCATGGTAGCCCAGACACATATCCACAGCAATATGGAGGTTGTACTGTAGATTTCATCAAAATTCATTCTTACGTACTGTCTTATAATTAATGCAGGGAATTTAACACATTTGAACCCAAAGTTTCCTCCAGCTACGTTTATACAGAGATGACTCCTTCTGCCCTAATGACAACTCAGTGCTGGTGGATCTGTAATATATTTGAGTAATTTGTCTATCCCAGGGGTCATCAAACTAAGGCCTGGGGGCCAGATACAGCCCTCCAAGGTCATTTACCCGGCCCTCGCTCAGGGTCAACCTAAGTCTGAAATGACTGAAAAGCACACCACCACCACAACAATCCTATCTCATCAGCCAAAAGCAGGCCCACACTTCTCAATGAAATACTAATAAGTTTATATTTGTTAAAATATAACAAATATAAACTTATACAGAGGTGACTCCTTCTGTCCTCACGACAACTCGGTGCTGGTTGATCTGTAATATATTTGGAATCAAATGACAGAAAAAGAAGTTCCACATAAACATTAGGAATAACTTCCTGATGGAAAGAGGTGTTCCATAGTGAAATATGCAGCCTTTGAGTGTGGTAGAGTTTGTACCAGAGTTTGTGGTAGAGTTTGTGTGGTAGAGATATGTGCCAGTGTGCACAGGAATTCATTCAATTTTTTTCAAATTATAATCCGGCCCTCCAACAGTTTGAGAGACTGTGACCTGGCCCTCTGTTTAAACATTCCCCAGTCCTGATGTATAGAACTCTGCCCATACCAATTCTGAATCATGAACAGGGCATGCAAGTGTGATGTTTCTTCTGACCACACAGTAAGAACCATGCAAATTTATTTTGTGAATTGTATGTAAAATTAAGTACTTTTTTAAAAAAAAGGTAAGTTCTAACTATGACCAATTTTATTCAGAATGCACTACATCTTTATATATTCATCAGTTTGTACACTGAGTGGAAAACTTATTGAGACTATATTCAGTACTGCAAACAAAGACCAATTAATGGTTATATTGTTATCAATTCATCTGAAAACAGTTCCTAAAATTATATGAAACATGTCGGGATCTTGGACCCCAACTCATTCATCTTTTCCCATGTGTTTTAAGACCTTCAAATGAGTTACAGAGAAAAGCTTGAAATCAAAATCTTAACACAGTTTCAAACCACAAAAATCTGGCAATTAAAAAAATACAAAGAGAAATTCATCGTCTGTGAGTATTTTAAAATAAAGAAACCCTTCATTTTCTTAGTTCAGATGATTGTGGGGAGTCTGAACACGCAACCTGGATATCTCAGTAACATTTCACTGAGTTGAAATACAGATTAAACCCTCAGAGTAGTCTGTTTTGTATGGTTAAACCAAGATATAAATAAGCTCTTTCCTCTTTGTGCATATAGCCCCTTTGCTCCTTCCTTTGCAGTGTAAGTAATCAAACCAACATCAGGAAACCTGTAATTAACTACATGTAAGCCCATTTGAAGTTGAATTTCAAGCCATAGATTAATACCACAGCTTATTTTCAGTTCAAGGGGAAAATTCAAAGGCTTAATAATGCAAAAAAAGGTATACATGTAGGTGATATACTCCTTTGTGTATTAATTTAGTAATGAGAGCGATGATGGTATAAATATGACCAGTGTTTCTACATTATCACTCATCCGTTATAGAAGCTAAAGTTGAATTCTTATGCATATTTTCCTAAGAAAAAGCCAAATTATGTAGCCCTGTAGATGATGTTGGAATTTAACTGCCAGCTTACCCAATGGTGTGGAATGCTGGCGTCTGTAGTTCAACTTCCGGGGGGCTTTACCATTCCTGTTCCTGATTTTAAAAACTATTGAATGGGTCATTTATCCATGTACTTGATATTCACAGTTTTACTAACTCGCCTGCCACCCCAGAAGTGTTTGTAAACCCCTTTAGATCCTCCAGTGCAAGTACAGTCAAAATATAGGTTTTATTATCCACAGTTTTGTTTGTCCACAGAAGTGTCTTGGAATGTATCTCCAGTGGATACGGTGCTATATGGAAAGTGCTGTAAAGAACATGACCTAATCTCAACCAGATTCTTTAGGTGTGCTTAATGAAACCATTATCTCAGCCTTGATAGCAGTACGTTTTATAAGGGGGATCCACATAATTTGAGGCCATGACTCTGGTATAAAATCTGATCAGTGACTTTTTAGATAATGATCCCCAAAATGGGCCCCCTTGGTGGTGCAGTGGGTTAAACCACTGAGCTGCTGAACTTGCTGACTGAAAGGTCAGCGGTTTCAATCTGGGGAGTGGGGTGAGTTTCCAAACTGCTCCTTCGAAAACATACCAATGTGAGTAGATCAATAGGTACCACTTCTACAGGAAGGTAAAAGAGCTCCATGCACTCATGCTGGCCACATGACCTTGGAGGTGTCTACAAACAACGCCATCTCTTCAGCTTAGAAATGGAGATTAACACCACTCCTCAGAGTCGGACTCAGCTAGACTTAATGTCAGGGAAACCTTTACCTTTACTTTTAATCTATCCCCATAGCTGGTGACTTTCTAATTAGGGCATTGTAATCCCCAAATTTAACCTTTCCAAGATCTGGGATTAGCTCTCTTGCCATGTAGAGCCCTCATAGAAAAAAGACGTGCTCCTACTTTCTTTTGCCATGTAGACCCCTCATACAAAAAGATGTGCTCCTACTTAAGTTGACACAGCAAAGAGGAAATGCTGAGGCTGATCTAGAGAACTGTGGACTCTTGTTACAATCAGAACAATTGTTAGTTCTTACTTGTGATCATAAGTGAGAGAGGTGAAGCTCAACTTAACCATTCTGGGAATGACAAAGAAAATGAAAGAAAAACCCATTCCTTCTCTTTATCATCATTCTCTGTAGACCACCAACATTCATAAAGAATAGTTTTGGAATGTATACTTGAAATTTCACAAGTACCCAAATTTGTGGGCAACCTCCTCCACATAATTGACATAAAATCGCCACCCCACCTTACATAGATTTCCTAACACAGTTATGAAAAGAGCTCCCCACACTATAATTCTTTCCAAATACTGTCATACCCTAAACAAGTCCAATAAATGTCATTTATTTTAAACATGAGAATTGCTGCTTCCTAAGAATGTGTGGAATTTCAAGTTCTCACTTCGTTGTTATCTAGCATTTTTTCAAACTTTCATCTTTCAGGGAACCTTCTTCCACAAACCAATTGTCTTGTATGGAACTGAAGCAAACAACAGACAATTTTAGGATGAATTTTGGGATTGTCATGGAGCACTTTAACGGACATTTTCTACCATGCAGCCATTTTTACGAGTCCCTTAAATAATTTATATTTGAACTAGCCATCCCCTGCCATGCGTTGCTGTGGCCCAGTCTGTGTATATGTGTTGTGTGTGTGTATATATATGTGTGTATTTGTGTATATATGTGGTTTTGCGCATGCGTTATAATGTATTTTTATTTTTTGGCTTTTTCTCTGTGTTTTTCAGTGTTTTTATGAGTGATGGTCACTCGTTGGCCTAATCGGTGTATTGTGTCCAAATTTGGTGTCAATTCATCCAGTGGTTTTTAAGTTATGTTAATCCAACAAACGAACATTACATTTTTATTTATATAGATGGGTGGCAAAAATAAAGAAACTGACAGAACTTTTGGTATAACCCAAATTAACTTGAGCATTTTAAGTCCAACTGATTTAAAACTTTTCCCCAGAAAATCAAGATAATTTTGAGAGTCAAGTGGATTGGGTATGAGTTAGCCTACTCAGATGTCTTACCTGCTTAATGGACTGGGGGTAGACTATTTATTTATTTAGAACTTTTATATACTGGTCTTCTCACTTCCAACGAGGGATTCAAGCCGGTTTACAACAGAGGAATTCATACACAATAGTTTAAAACATCACATCCAATAATACACTAATATAAAACACATTAAAATACAATCATATAAATACATAAGGCCAAGTCGTCAGAATAAAATCACTATTCATCCCCATCCGTCCGTGTGGTCAAGAGTTCTTGACTCACTCATCAAATGCCAGATTCCAGAGCCAGGTTTTCACAAACTTTTTAAAGGTCAGGAGGGAAGGGGCAGTTCTAATCTCCAATGGGAGAGAGTTCCAGAGCCGAGGGGCCACTACCGAGAAGACCCTGTCCCTCGTCCCCACCAGACGTGATTGTGAGGGTGGTGGGACCGAGAGCAGGGCCCCTCCAGAAGATCTTAACAAC